AGGGATCAAACTGGGGACCTTGGGCTTGCAAAGCAGGAGACAGCAAGCAACATTCTTGACAACAGCAAAACAGTGATGAGTAAAGTCAGGCTTACATCCTAGAACTGATGGATGATAAACTAGTAAATAAGTAAATGAATAAGATAATCTCAGATAGTGATAAAGGAAGATAAAGAACAGTGATGTGACAGACTGATGAATGTAGGCTTGTGGAGACAGCTTTGGCTGGGAACTGATGGTGAGATGGCAAAGCAGAGATAGCCATGCTATCTGTAGTCAGCTGTCCAGCAGAGGGACCTGCCAGCATGTGGGTCTTCAGCAGGATTAGATGTGATTTGCACACAAGACAGATGAGGTCAGAATGACCTGAATATGAGGAGCTGTCAGGGAGACCATGAATTACAGGTAATTAAAAGCCAGATCATATACCTTGCATGTCAAAGGAAGGGATTTTCATTTGGGAAGTAAAAGCAATGAATGGCATAAACAAGGTAACATTTCAAATATAAGTGTATGTGTACACACAACCCTGATACAGTAACTCATGGTACTGTGGTCTGTCTCTTTTGCTACAAAAGTAAGTATTTTAAATTGCATTTATTTGAAGAGTGTAGGTTTTGAAGTTATACTATGTATAGTATTTAAAAAATAATAGTACTAGTTCTATTGCTAGCTTCTTGCTTTGTTGGGCCATCCAACTTGGTAAAATAAAATGAATACTGATTTCTTTTAGATGAACAAATATCCAAGTTTCACACAGAGCTTCATGAGATAAGCCTTAGGGGAAGGTAGTTAATGGTGCTTCCTAGACAATTTCTGTGCCACAGATATCTGTCATTTTTTTTTTAGGTTAATGACATGATATTTTAATGTGAGAAATAAAGTTGCCTGCAAAGACTAGATCTTGGGAGTTTTGTTGACTCCACATTTAGATTTCTGTAGTTATAGGGATCACAAGGTACCAGTGGCCACTAGTTCTCCAAAGCTAATCAGTTCCATGAGATTGAGGCTGTACCCTGCTGTTAGAAATTACACTTGACAGTGACAACTATAATTTTTTCATTTGTCCATGGCTGGGGTTGACTCCATAACCCGATGTGGACAGTGACATCTAGTGGCTCTTAAGCAGACAAAGTCCCATGGCCTGTCATATGTTTAATTAATTAATCATCTAGAGTGATTGAAGAACCAACTCTGTTTTCACCCTTGCCGTGCTCTAAAAATACAGAAATGTATCCCTTATAATCTGGTTTGGTGTGTCTAAAATACAAAATTGTGAGGTCTACTGAGACCTAATTTACTTTTTCATTCCATAGACAGAAGATCCAACCATGGAGCGACCTTATACATTTAAGGACTTTCTCCTTCGACCAAGAAGGTGAGGTGTGAGGGTGGACGGATGTTGGGGGGGCATCCTGCACACTTCAGGTATTGGTTTTTCTGAGGACAGTTTCATCAGTTGCCATAAAGAGGAAGGATATAAGTAAGTCGTATCCTTTATAACCACTTTTCTTCCTTTATGCAGTCATAAATCTCGAGTTAAGGGATTTTTGCGGTTGAAAATGGCCTACATGCCCAAAAATGGAGGGCAGGATGAAGAAAACAGTGAGCAAAGAGACGACATGGAGGTAGGTGGAAGACCTGAGGGCCTGGGCCTGGGCCTGGGCATGTTTTCCTGGCTAAAATCTCTCTTCATATTCTGGGGTGATACTTTGCATTGAAGGAAGCTAAAAGTTTGGAAAGTTAAATATGAGTGCACTTCCAGTGTTCCCGAGTGTGTCTTTGATAGTGTACCTAGTGTGTTTTAGTTAAAAAGTTGAATTTTTCTTTTTTTTGCTGCAATAATAATTGAGTGGAGTGCCCTTTTCACAGTGCAACAACATCTCTCAGTAGCCCCACCACCCTCACGCACCTGAGGCTGTTACTGCCTTGGACGTTCAGCTCTTTGTAAGTGCCCTTTAGCACTTGAAATTGCTTTAGAGTGGATACAGTTGTTTAGCAGATCTCCCTCCATTTCTGAGTCTTTTGATCCACAGGTGATAGCATGTAGTAGAACAGCCCCACTTTGGAAAGGCCTCCTTAGAAATAGCTGGTCAGAGGAATGCTCTTTTTGTCTTTCTGGAATAATAGCCTCTTAATTTTCTTGTCACATACCTGTAATGTGGGCCCCTTTATACCTTCTCAGCACGTGCTCAGTGTGTTTTTAAAAAACACATTCTCATAGTGTTTTGAAAGCATCTGTTGAACAGATCTCTGTAGCTGTTCTCACATCTGTTTGCAGCTGTCGCATATACATGATACGTGAATAATGTGTTGTGGGCAAGTTTACCAGACCCCCTCCGACCAGGAGGCCACAGTTCCAGGCATTGTCCACTGTGGGGACTCACAGCTCTCCTCGTTTGATGAGGAGTGAAGTGGGTGGCAGGCCATGTGGAGGCTGAGATTTCATGAGCAGAGTAACATATTTTTATGTCAAGTCTGAGGAATTTTTTACACTCATCTTGCTTTCCAACTGCAGTAACCAGTGAATTATTTAATTTTCCAGTGACTTTACTAGGGGATTTTGGAAAAGCAATACTTAATGCCTAAAGTATGCATTGTAAAATGGAACTCTAACCCCAGTACCATGAAGACTGTTTGTGTGCAGAGCCTAAGTAGGCAGTGGCAGAAACTCTCAGACTTTGTCTGGCCCTGGGATTGAAGCAGATCAGAGTGGAGGCTTTACCTGCTCTGTGCTGCAGCCTCAGGACCATCCTCCATGGAGACAAGCAGACCCCTGAAGTCCCCTTCACTCATGCCATGCTTTCTGATGGAACACATACGTGCACGATGCATCTTTACCTCATGGAGGTGCTAATGGGATGACGGCTGTGATGTGGCCCATGTTGTTGGCACAGCTTTCTACACCCCTGAAGGCCCTAGATCTTAGTAACAAGAGATATGAAATACTACAGTGAGACTTAAGTACGTTCACCAACTGCATAGCCAAACCGGCATAGCTTCCCGCGATACAATCATTCTTAGTAGGTGGTAAAAATAATTGACCATTGCTCTAAAGATTATTGAGGCCTGGAATTTGTTTGCCCTTTTGAGGGAACTTATCCCAGTGTGGTACATGAACCCATTGCAAGAACCATGGCATGACAGCAAAGCAGAATGACATGCAGAACATGCTGTCATTGTCTTTTTCCCCAAGTCTGAAGAATTACGCTTATAATCTTCCATTTAATTTTATTCCACAGCATGGGTGGGAAGTTGTTGATTCCAATGACTCAGCTTCTCAACACCAAGAGGAGCTTCCTCCTCCTCCTCTGCCCCCTGGGTGGGAAGAGAAAGTGGACAATTTAGGCCGAACATACTACGTCAACCACAACAACCGGACCACACAGTGGCACCGACCAAGCTTAATGTGAGTATGACAATGTGAGCTCGACACGGGCGTGAACACAACACTGGGATGAGGCTGGGAAGTACATCGGATGTGAGGAAAGCAGGTGGCTCTTGTTGTCTGAGGGCAGTCAGAAGAAGAGGCTATGGCCTTAGTGCCACCACATGCTGTCATTAGCAGGATGAGCTGCAATATTTTGTGTATCTTATTCATACAGATTTCTATTTGTTTTTCAAGATTTGTCTTATTGCTCCCTTCTCCTTCAGACTTCTTCCCGACAAACCCAGAATAGAAAATAGCAAGCAAAATTGGCTTTTCAATTTTTTGTTTCTTTACATTTCTGAATTTCTGTTTCTTTTATTTTTTTCCCAAAAAGCCTTTTTTTTTCTTTTTGGGAAATGTATATATTACCCCCTTGATATAATTAGAAATGCATAGGATATTTGCAAAGTCAGAATTAGTAATTATTGTTTATTTTAATTGTTCGCCAGTCTCGGGTATAGTGAGCCAAGTATGTTTTGTTCCCTAGCAAATAAATCTTAGTTAAACCTAAACTTCTATAAAAAAAGGTTTTGAAGCAGCTTGCTGTTAAATCATATTGTATAGCTAGATCCAAATATATTGATATAGTAAGGGGCAAAACCAAAGTACTAAGGAAAGGAAAAATTATTCTAGAAACTAGGAGCTTCCCAATAGCTAAGACAAGGAGGATAAGTATCAATTATGCATTATATATTACTATATAATTTTCAGTATGTAATAAAGACAAGTGTAGTGGATAAGAAAATTTTCTATTCAACCCTAATGGAAAGAAATTTTCTAATGATGCATTTCAAATAGGCAGTATTAACAGTATGCTGGAAAGTCTTCTTACAAACCCTTTATCATCAGAAATTACAAAGATATTCTGTGTATGACTGGGTGGAGAAAGTGATCAAATTAGCTGGACTGGGTTTTATTGAGTGTGGAAATGAGGCTTGTAGACTCTGGAGCAGTGAATTAGTGAATTGCCAATCCTCCCTGAACAATTCTTGTGGCTACCAGCTATCCTTGGTATTAGACTAGGAGAATTCAGTATCAGGACATTAGGCTAATAAATATAAATGGAAATGGTTTAATGGATACTTTTTATTATTTTACTGTTTCCCCTTTGTTAATGATCATAGCTGTTACAACATAGCTGTAAGACATTTTGACTATTCTAGCTATTTGTAGTAAAAATGACTTTTGATCACCTTGGGCTTGGTTACATGCTTAATGAGAAGAATTGTGGTGTCCACAATAACTATGCCCAAACAAAAGGTACACCTTATACAGGGCTAGCTTACCATGAATCCAGAAGCAACAAGGACAAAGCAGGTCTCAACACAAGTTCAGGTTCACATGTGGTTTAGGAAGAAGTCAGCGACATGACTGTCCCCATCAGTGAGGTACCACTGTCACAGGGGAAGGCTAAACCAGGAGTGGTATTAGAACAACTTGGTGGAAGGCCTCATTTCCACCAGGTGTGGCTTCTAGAAAGCAAAGAAAAGTTAAAGGACACATTATCACCTCATTCCCGCTGCACTTTCATGAGTTTAGGGACTTTTCCCCTTAACTTTATTTGGCTTGGCCAGAAGCCCTTGGGTCTCCAGAATTACGATTAAGCACTATTTTAATTCAAAGTAGTTTTTTTCATTATTCAGTTTTCACAGAATACTGCGGCATCCTTCAGGAGAAAATTGATAATTGTTAGAAATATGTTAATTGACAGGATATCTGAGGAAATAATGATTACCATGTGCTAAGCAAAGAATTAAGACTAGATCAGTGACTAATTCTTGCTTAGTGTGCTACAGACGTGTGTGCTCAACTTTAACCCACAGAAAACAGGTTTATGTTTTGTCTTCGACTTTCCCTTGTCCTCAGGATGTTCATACGAAGTTATTCTTTACCCGGGTCTCTTGCTGGAATTGATCCAGTGGGCCTATCACAGCTGCTTTCTCCTAGCTTTCCTCTTGTTGCTGGGTCCTGTGGATAGCACCTCAAACCAAGAGTCTAGAGCATGTTCCTTTCCCACTCCTCTGACAGGCCTTCCTTCCTGTCCAGTTCTCCCCAGGAACCTTTGTGCTTGGCCTGTCATAGCACAGTGTACAAAGTCTCCCCTGTGCCTATGTGGGCTGAGACCATATTTTCTTATTCATAGATGGATCCCTCATGCCTGGCACAAAGTTGGAGCTGAGCCACATACATTTTTAAATGGATGGCTGACTACAGGATCCCCTCCTGAAAATGGTTTTAGGCACACAGTTTGGTGCACTGTCTGGGCCAGATTTAGGCCTGGATTCAGAACTTTAGCACAGATGACCCAGGAGCTCATGCCAGCCCACTGGATTCTGGTGATGGCTTTTAAGACATCCTAATCATAGATTTTTTAAAATCTTATTTAAATATAAACTGCAAGTTATTAGTGTAAAAATTATTGTAAAAATACAGTTTTTAAAATAGTAAACAAGTTATCTTGTGTCATTCTGTAAGTGCAAATAGACTTGACAAACTGAAGCACTTGTTTTATGCCTCTTTATTATAGAATATTTTATCCATCTGTTTAGTGGTGATCTAATCATCTCTGTGATTTGGAGCAAGTCTGCAGTCACAGTGTGTGGTGAATATAAATTATCTGACTCACTGATCTTAGTTGGCACTGAGTTTGATTTCAAGGCAGCTTGTTTGACTGTTCCTTTTGTCATTTGTGTTATTTCCCTTGAAAGTCAAGTGAAAACTATATGTTAAAAAACTAATGACAGAAGAGAAATTGAAGTGAGCATTTCTTAAATTATTTCCTTGCCCACACACACATCATTTTTTTAAACTTCATTTTATCAAGTCAGAAATAATTGTTAGTGGTCATCTTCCAATTAGTAACCATTTAAATTTTCAGTGCATTTCAACATCCCTTTTGCTTAATTAAATGAAAAAGGCCTCAATTCTGTGAACATTATCAGCATTTAAGTCCATGAAAGCCCTGGGTTAAAATTTTAAAGTCAGCGTTATCTTGCTTCTGAAACTGTTTAGTTGTTTCTGCTTCACACTGATTACTGATTATGTGTGCATATTAGATAAAGAAAACTGACATAATTGATTTTAAATGCACCTCGGTTTTTAGAAAGTCCATCCTGGAGTAGTAGGCTTTTGTATACTTCTGAAGGACGTGAGATGTTGATGTAGTAATATTAAAAGTTTACTCTCTACTTCTCAGAGTCCTGGTACTTGTAGCAATTCAGTATATACTCATCCTTCGGGCCTGGCACTATATAGCTTTATGCAGGTTACTGCCTCACTGTGGCTGGTTGATAGCCACAACTAGCATTTCAAGGAAGATTTAAAACTTTAATACGACTCCTGATCACCCTTATGTGCAATTGCTTTCGTCCTTAATAAAAAGTGAAAACAAGGTGACACAGCTTCCTCTGCTACCTTGCACCTCTGAACTTATTTACATTCTTTTTAAGTGTATTCCAGTCATTTTCCTTCCAGGTAGTTTTTTTGTTGTTGTTCTATAATAATTGATTACATTTTATAATCATTGTGTATTTAAAAATTGAGTGTCATAAAAATTACTACTGCATAAATTCACAAATATAGTTTCTAATATAATCAACAATGTCATTTTTAGTCATTCTGTTTTTGTACTTTAATAAATTTTATTGATGTATTTAATTTTAATATTTCCTCTATAATCATATTGATTAGTTTTCTGAAGTTAATCACTAGTGTACTGTTTTACCCTAATTATATTTAATATAAATAAAACATACAGAGGAGAGAAAATATTTAAGAATGCAAAAAGTTTGTAGAGGTGTACAAATACAATACAACTTCATTAATTTGGACTTTAATAATAAGGAATTATCATTTAAATGTGGATTAAAGGAGCAACCCACTTTCTGGGCCCCCTCTGTCTCTCTTAGAAGCTATCTTTCTCTCAATAAATTCTTCCTGCCAGCGTGGTGGCACACGCCTGTAATCCTAGCACTAGGGAGGCTGAGGAAGGAGGATCGCTGTGACTTCAAGACCAGCCTGGGCTAAATAATGAGTTCCAGATCAGTCTCAACTACAAAGTGAGACCCTGTTTCAAAAAATAAATAAATAAATAAATAAATAAATAAATTCTTCCTGCTCAATAAATAAATAAATAAATAAATGTAGATTAAATAGCACCTGACCTTCATACTATCCCCTTTACCAGTAAAGTTAATAGTGTAAAGAATATTTAATAGGAATGCTTAACTATTTTGGCAGCTAGTGTCAAAAAGTCAACCATTTACTTGCAAATAGTATAATCACGTACTAGTCTTGCCCTAGTCTGGACTTAACATGAACTTATGTGGTATGAATGTTCACAGAAGGGAGACCCTCTTTAAGCAACTAGTCTGTTACTATCTACACTATTTCATTTAATTAAGCAGTTTGTTCATATGGGATATATAGTGTAAGTTAAAGACTATATTAGAAATTTTTAAACTTTGTTTTAGAAAGAATTTTTAGTTAGGGCTCTTGATTAATATGTGTTTCACTCTGCCTAAAATAACTTCAACTGTTTAGAAACATTAACTTGAAATGTAATGTCTTCTAACCGAACATGGAGTTTTACTGAAAGTACTTGGGAGTGTCCTCTGAGAAATATTGTGGCATTTAAACTTCTACCATGAATGCCTGTTTCTCCCAAAGGATGATTACTTATAATATTCTGCAAAATGTTTTCAAGATCAAGTTGATGCGTTCAGATCCTGAATTGAGAACTCTATGTCACACAAATACAGTTCATGACATTGCACTTGGAGTGTTCGTCAAATCCCAGGTGGCTGGGAAAGTTAACTCTTAGTGTTTATTTGGATTTTTAATTTGGGGGGTAAGGAAGTTTCAGTATTGTGAGATTTTGTCAAAATGAGATAGAAAGCAGCCAAGAAAAATCGCAGTGATTCAAGAGTCCTTTTTCCTAGATTGCAATCTTGAATTTGAATGGTTTGTAGTCTTTGCTTAATTGCTGATGACAAAAAATAGCTTTTTGGTCATTGCTGGATTCATTAAATAAATTACCACTACACTGAACCTGTACAGACTTTTTCTCTCTCCTCATTATTCTCTAAAAGGCAGTGTAACAGTTACTCACATTGCATTTGTATTGTATTCGGTTTCATAGGGATTCCAGAGATGACTGTAACTTATATTGGAGATTATAAGTGGTTTCTATGCAAACATTGTGCCATTTTATGTGAGACTTGAGCATCTGTGAGAATGGTGAGGGGATCCTGGAACCATTCCCCCTTGTATACCGGGGGACCACAGTATAAGCCAGAAAGCTGCACTGAAAAACTGTTTATGTTTGATTGAAATGAACCTGGCACTATAGCATAGCTTGGTAGAGAGCTCAGATTTGGTGACCAGGCCTTACTGGCCCTTAGAGACTGTTAGACCTTTGGAGGGCCAGTACTGAATATCTTTTTCTTCTTGCACCCTTTCTTCCCACCCTCAGGGATGTGTCTTCTGAATCAGACAACAACATCAGACAGATCAACCAGGAGGCTGCACACAGGCGCTTCCGTTCTCGCAGGCACATCAGTGAGGACTTGGAGCCTGAGGCCTCGGAAGGTGGAGAGGGCCCTGAGGTACAGTGTCCTCTCGTGCCATCAGACCCAGAGCTGTCTTTCCTTGGCCCACAGCGTTATTTTGCATTTTAATTTCATTTCTTGGTAAGGGTTGTCTAGAATGTAAAAATTGAGGTCTTGTAGCTAATTGATTACTGGGTAGGTATTAATTTAGAAAGTGCTTATAAATGCCACGTTATACAAGTACTTGTGGCCTTTTATCATTACATAAGGGATTGGTATTATTTCTAGAATAAAAATCTTAAGACATTTTCACTTTGTAATTTATTTTCCCTCACGGTCTAACCATATCTCATTAAACAGCATCACAAGTATCATTTGAGCAACTGCATGAGCCTTATAACTTGCTTGTTTTTATTGAGTGTTTCTGATGTTTTAAAAAAGATTGATTACTGGGCCAGGGATTTGGCTCAGTGGCACTGCACCTGCCTGACAAGCACAAGGGCCTGAGTTCGATCCCCAGTACCAAAAAAAAAAAAAAAAAGATTTATTACCAAAAATATAAATGTTTATAATTTCCCCCTTTAAATGGTTATAGCCCATTACTGAAAAAGAATGTGAATTAAACAAATCAACAGTAATATTCTGTGCTAAACTCCATGCACTCATCAGATCAGTTCTTTATAGGCATTGTGTGAGGAAAACCATTCACAAAAATGTTGCCATGATCAAAATTAGAAAAGCAAATTAATGATTCCATAATAAAGTCACTAAAATTTATATAGCATGTAATTACACCTTAGCATCTTTGCTGTTTACATTCTAAATCCTTAACAGTCAGAGTAAAAGAAAGCCTATGAAAATAATTTCTAAACTCCTGAGACGATTGCTTTAACCCAAGCATATAGTAACAAATGCTGGCAATAAAGGTTCATAAAGCTATGAGAAACACAACCTCTAGACCCAGGCTTCCTAGGCTCGTGTCACAGACCTTCCACCACTAGCTCTCCAACCTTGGGCAAGTGATTCTCTATGCCTCAGTTTCCTTGTATCTCAATTGAGACAGTCGTCACATCTTTCCTCATGGTTACCACAAAGATTCTGTGCCTCATGGTAAGTGTTGACTAGATAGATGTTAGTTTCAGTTGTTCTTGTGGTTATTATTGTTACCTGTTTTTCAAGGGGAGGATGGGAGGATCCCCAATTCCTAGCATTTACGTCAGCATCTCTGTCCTTGAAAGCCTTGGGAGACCATTTCAGAGGAAGTGAACATGGCCGGAGACTCCCTTGGTCTGGCTTTGCCTCCGCCGCCAGCCTCTCCAGTGTCTCGGACCAGCCCACAGGAGCTATCGGAGGAGCTGAGCAGAAGGCTTCAGATCACTCCAGACTCCAATGGGGAACAATTCACTTCTCTGATTGTAAGTAGTGATCTTGTTTCAAACAAAAGCTAAATAATTATCTGTCATTTCTTGTTTTTTTAGGAGATTTTTGTATATAAATAACAACCAAGGGTTATCTAGCAAACGCTGACATTTACTAAAGTTCCCCCTTTCTAGGAAGAGCAGGACTATATTAAAATTATCCCAGGCTGGTGGCAATCATGATTTGGAAACAGCAGTGCACTACTGACATTTTTTTCTTAATTTGTAAAAAATTCAAAGGAATAAATTTCCACTTCTAAAATTAATAGCTTTAACCTTACAGAATTTCTTTCCCCACCAAAAGGCTCATAAAAATGGTGCCTTCATGAAAGCAGTATTTCACAGTAAGAATTAGGAGCCTTTCAAACTCCTAATGAAGCTTCTGAAGTTATATTCTGCATGCCCGATCATTCCATTTCCCAGACAAGGGCAGATGTTTCAGTAGCTCACCCAAGACAAGCGTTTGAATGGAAGGCAGAAGACACCTTCTTAGTCCCAGAGAATGAGTCCTTGAGAAAGGGTATAAAATTGTGACGCTGACATGAAGATAGCATTCGAACTGAGGTTTTCAACCATCAGAGATGCACTTTCTACAAGCTTCAGCTAGGACTGAACCCCAGTGAGAAGCATTGGGATCATTCATGAAGAGCTTTGCATTTGAAGATATGAAAATTGCAGAAAAGGGCCATACTAATTCCCACAGGTTCATAGAATTAAGAGCCAGTGCACAGTGCTTCTTGAGAACTGAACTAAAAAATATACAGTAGTAAATGATGGTAGCCTGTCCACTGAAAAAGGTATCCTAGAACTAGTAGTCATTATGAGCATATTGAATATAAATGATAGTTGGACTACATAAGATATAGAAGCCAAGTAAGTACTCACAAAATTGTTACTCCTTTGCCTATGGTGTTTTCATTTCAAAAGACTCTGTGGGCCTATGTAGTGTGACTTGCTAATGTGGTTTCACATTAAAATTCTGTGAATTTTTTTTCAAAAAAATGGTATTGAGGTGAAAATTTTATAACAAATGGACAGGAAAAGAGTTTTCATGTATGAGATAATTTGATTTGGTAAAATTGTTGCTATGGGAACAACATAATCATTGAAGTCATATATTGTAAACCTATAAAAGAAACCATAACAGTTATATATACCTTTAGTCAACCAAGTGAAAAAAAGGTGTAGTTTTCATCAGCATTAATATTAAATTAACATTTCTAGTTATTTGCATAGGGAGCTATTGCATTTACTCTAAAAGCATAAAATATCCTTAAGACCCAAGTGTAGTATTATATTATTTTCAGATTGTGATAACTGTTAAAATGGCTAGGGAACCCTGCTCCAGCTTCACTTCTCAGGGTCACTCTGTATTCAAGGGCAGTAGTGTGAATTGCCCATGAGTAGTACATCATCACTGCACAGTTCTTCTCGGACATTATCTCATTTCACTTGCTATTGCAAATTTTTAAAAACTAGCATGCACTACAAGCTTATACCATGCACAAGCCTGCTAATAAGGAGACCTTTGACTTCTGTCTGGAATCTCCATTCAGATCTATTAGGCTGTGTTTAACCACATAGAATACCAACAAGTGAGAGGAACATTATGTATGACACACTAATCTGTTTTTAGAGTAACCTCACTATTTTCCTTCATTCTTTTGCTGTGCTGCATCAACTCCACTCAGAAGCTTTATAAATAAGCTATCTTTCAGAACTAGGGCAGGATGATTTCTGAGTTTTCCCAGATACAGAATCCAGGTAATTCTTTATCAACTGTAGTAATCAATAAATACTGAATAGCCATAGTATCACTGTTTCTTCTTGCTTTTTCCTCTATTCTAATGTTAGAATTTCCCCTGACCTGGCTTCCTCAGCAGAGTACAAGACCGCTCACTTTAAATTGGTTGTTGGAAAGAAGCTCTTGAGTGTGGTGGGGGCCTTTTGAGTTTCCCTTCCAGTAGTTTTGGTCCCCATCCCACCCATCTTGTTCCAGTCCTGCAGACTGAACTCAGAGCCCTTGCAGTTGAGCTGAATCCCTACCTCTTTTGTTACATTTTGAGACAGATTCTTAAAGGCGCTTGAATTTGTGATCTTCCCTGCCCCGGCCCCTCAAAGTGCCAGGATTACAAGTGCACATCATCGCACCTGGCTTCTTATTTTTGTTATTAATTCTAAGATCCATTCAAAAATCCCAGTCTGCTAAAAATTCTGAGAATTGAAGCAGAGGATAGCTTGACTCTCATCACTTTGAAAGGATGTTTCATTTAATTACCTCCCAGTAGCAGAAGCAGTTCATAGAGCTGGGCCTTGTGGCAAACACGTGTAATTTCAGCAGTCTGGGAAGCTGAGACAGGAAGACTATGAGTTTGAGCCCAGCCTAGGCAACTTAGCCGAGACCCTGACTCAAAATGAAAGATAAAAAAGGACTAGAGATATTGTTCAGTGTGAAAATCTTGGGTTCAATCCCTAATACTTTAAAAAAAAAAGTAGTATGTAGGATTATATAATTAATTTTTTTTAAACCAGTAAAACTCATTTCTAGGAATGTGCCTCTTCACACCTGCTGTCTTTTCCTCCCCTCCAGCAGAGAGAACCCTCCTCCAGGCTACGGTCCTGCAGTGTCACCGACACAGTCGCGGAGCAAGGCCACCTACCACCGGTAACCCATGCTCATTTCCATTTATCAGCTGGCTTGGCAGCTTTAATGTGAAGTCTTCTGGGCTTCTAAGAGTTTTTCCTGTATACATCCATTCACCAAATGAGACATTTAAAATTTTCCTAGCAAATTGCTCAAGGAGGGTAGGTCTCCAGCACAGAGACTTGTTACTACCACCAAGGTGTCTAAAATGCTAAAAACTTCATTGCTTTGGTTTTTCGCCTAAATTTGTATCAGTCCTAATGTGCTTACGTGGCTGAAGCTACTTAATACATTTATAATTTTTGTTCGTTCAGTCCTCGTAGCTGAGTCTGGTGAGCTGGACTCTGGAAGCTCACTGATCCCTTCATGCAGGAAGAACTCTTCTTGGCAGACAGCCTTATATAATAGGCCCCTTTCCACTATCAGCTGCCTAAATTCCCAGCTCCACAAAGCTGCTGCTCTCTCTCTTTAAAGGTATCTCTACAAGTAAAGAATTGGCTATAATTGATTCTCACTCTCCCACAGTTGTAATAACTATCAACAAACACAGAAGTGGTAGAGGGTTTAATAATGTCCCATGTATATAAAAATAAACATTCAAATTGGAAAGCACACCAGCACTGCCTTGGGAAGTGTTTGGTGTTCAGGTTCTGTTTGATATTTGACCTCGATTAGGTTTTTTATTGCTACAGATCCTTGATTTTTTTTTTCACATACTTTATTTGTATGAATTTGAGGTCGGAGGAATGCATTTAAAGTCTCTGAAACCAATGTCTTCCTGGTCCTGTACATTTTACCTGGCTTTAAAGGATATTTTTGCCCACATTTTAGTTTTTTATGTTTTAAAAATGAATTAATGACTACATTAGTCAAGATAATAGATTCAGTTGTGATTTTTGCCAGGTAGACTGGTTAACAATAAGCTTGAAGAGAGCATCTTATCTGTGATAGGGTCAGCACAGGCCCTCCACTCCCAAACAGAACAATGAATGATAATGAATCGGTGGGTTCCTTCTTAGCCTAATGATTCTGTGATTTTCCTTGATGAATTAATGGCACTTTCTCTCCTTTTCAAAATCAGTGTCAATTTCATTTGCCCAAAAACTTATTTTCATAAAAATGAAATTCCTCCCTCTGCTCTTCTCATATTATGCTGTGAGCTCATTGATCACCAGTGGCCTCTTACCTGAGTTCTGTCAGATTTACAAATGTGCTAATTATTAGACAATAGAGGCAAACCCAGTTGGCTTTCCATTTTTGTCTTGTACGATGTCCAACTTGATTGAGGTTGTTACTGTTCTCCTACATCAAGGGAACAGCCCGAGCCTCTTTGAGGAGGTGTGAGGGCAGGTGAGGGTCCTGCTTCTCTTTGGCTGCTGGTCATCAGTGTATGCTCATCTTTGTTTGGACAGAATGTCAGATTCTGACCTCACGCCACCTGCCTTGCATTGCTGCCACAGCAGTGATTCTTGGTGCACTAAGTGATGGGTTGGACCCTTACATTCATTTCACTGACCTCAGTTATCATTTAACAGCCCAGCGCCCCAGCTGGGAGAGCGCGTTCATCAACTGTCACAGGTGGTGAGGAGCCAACGGTAATGACACATTTTATCAGACATTCATTAATGCAAAAATCGGCGGGGTGGTTTCATATTTTGATTAATGATGAATACACTTCTTAAAATCAAGGGTGGCTTTTTTGCACTACAGAGAGGCACGTATTTCCTGTTTTAAACTTATTTTTAGATTAGTCAAAGGTACCAAGTAAAATGCAATGATTTTTTTAGTACCGTATTCTATTTGGATCGTCATCAAGCTTTGGTTAAATGTGCGATTTGATCATTTAGAACATGGGTTTGCCTTTTAGCATTTTTACTTCTGATAAGCTTTTCCTAAAATGCTTAGTTAAAGGTTGGAGAATAACCAGTGAAGCCACAGGGACCACATGAGAGTCCAGCTTGTGCCCAGTGCTGAACTCTCCTCTGCATCTCCCATACCACATTTTTTTTAACAAGGGACTGCTAGACTTTCTGTATCTCCAACTACATTAACCAGTAACCTTTTTCTGCCACCAGTGTCTTGGAATGTTGGAATAGACATATGTTTTTTTTGTTTTGTTTTGTTTTTGTACCAGGGATCAAATTCAGGACTTGTGCTTGTGAGGCAGGTGGCAGCACCACTGAGCTAAATCCCCAGCCCTAAAATGTTTAAATGGTCAAGAAAAGTTGGTGTTGCTTTAAGCCAAGTATCTGTTACTTTTTTTATTTGATGTGTTGAATAACTTACAGTATTCATGTCTATGATTACCTTAAACTTTGCTGTGTATTTTAATTGTCTGTGTTCTCCTTGATCCCTGAAGTCAGATTAGCTTAGTTTATGGTCCAAGTGTGATAGCTAATTGAAGAATTTTCCTTTTTGTTTTACCTTTGTTGCTTTTGCTATAATTGCTTACTGCTTTATGAATAGATTTAACTACATATATAATAGCTGATTTTCTGAAGTATGTTGATGATTTAAAGGAATGATTTAGATATAGTGTTAGAATTTAATGCTTAGTTTTGTATAAAGAAAAATCAAATTAATAATCAGTACTGATCAACACAGTTCAAGGTATTGAGGTGCCATGGTTTGTGTGAAAGTTATACTGTCTGCTAGGTGAGCCAAGCTCAGCCTGCAGTAGAATTCAAAGAATTCTGCACAAACTAGCTTATTTCCTACTGCTGCCAGTAATTTCTGTGGTAATAATGGAGTGCACTGCAAGGTAGATCAATCGTTTCATGAGGTGATTTCATTTATTCACCATGTGGAAGAAGATCCTTTTATGTATCGTTCAGTTTTGCATTTTGTTAGCCAAACAACCTACTTTTAACTTCGGAATGTGAATAGCTGATGATCACAAATGACAGAGTAAACAGTCAGTGTAGTCCCAGGCTCCATGGCGAGAGCCATCTGGCAGGACAAGGTGATCCATCTGAGTGAGATCCCATCTGGCTCTGGAAACTATCCTTTTTCTTGCCTGTGCTTTGCTCTCCCCCATCAGTGAATTAAAATATGGATCGGGTTTGGTTTTTGATTTTTAAAGACTAATCTCAGTAGTTTCTAAGTATTTCACCTACCTTTACTCTGTGGTTTCTCAGTACCGAGATAGATTTGTAAGGATTATATCCCTTTTCCCCACTCCATCATTCCTTGTCATGACTTCCCTGGACTTTCTTGTTTCCAGTTTTATCTTCTATCACGTTTTGTCTTTGTTTGTTTGTTTGTTTGTTTGTTCTTTTTAATTCGCTTTCTGGCTCTTCTCCATATCACCCACACTGAAATGTGTGCCTAGGTTGGGGCACTGTCTCGCTCCTGCTTGTTTTTCTCAGATGCTTCTTTGCATACAACGCACACACATGCTGCTTTATTTTATTTTTTTTAAAGTAGGATGTTATATAAATAATGTTTGGCAAGTTGATTTTTTTACTTATGTTCATTCTGCTGGGACGTGTTAGTAATTAATATTCAGGGACGTGAATACACCACAAGTTAGGCAGTTTTCTCACATTAAAGGACATTGAGGCATTTACACACTGTGTTGTAGTAACCATCCCCAGATGCCTTTCCATATCATGCTTTTCCTTTAGTACAGTGTGAGGCCTGATTCTCGCCTGAGGAAGCACAGCTCTGATTTATGGCAAGTAAATACACACTGGTTTCACTTTTAGGCAGGCTAAGCCAGAGCCTTCTCCTTGAGATATAAGGAGAAGGATAACTCGGTCCTTTGATCTTTGCTTTCTGGATTCTAAAAATATATTAAAGTACTACCGTGACAGGGTTTGAGCAAGTTTTGAAAAATCTGTGACTGTCTGTGTTAAAAGTGTTTTTTTCTAAAATTATATTGAAGTCTTTCAGTTTAAACATGCTCAAGTTCTTTACTTTAATGAAAGAAACAGAGCCACCATGAAGTTACAGTTAATGATTGCTTAACACTATAAGGCATATTATAGTATATTTGTTCTCCAGAGGAAACCCTATAAAATATTATGCTAACCAGCAAGTTTTAGTTTGGTTTTTAATTGCTTAGCTTGTTCCTTGAGATGGTCTAGAACATGCTGGTATGCATACAGCAGTAGAAGCCTGATCTGTATGTGGAACCCAAGGCTTGCTGCTCTCTGGCCATGTGTGGTGGGAGGCAGCGTTCTGAGTCACAAATGCAATCATCAGCACAGGTTGTTCTGCATGCTCACTTGGAAAGGATGCTGTAAAGGAACATTTTAATAATACCATCTTGCATAAATACAGCTAATTTATAGGTTGTCGGCTCAATTCTCTATAGAAGGGAGAATGAACATTTTAATCAAATTCAATGTTCTCTCTGCCACACTCCTAATTTTGCATAAATCAATTAGTCCTGTTAACTACAGATCTGTGAAAATTCAACTTAGAATTTAATTCTGAGACTAGCCATGGCACATCCAAGTTATTTTAGTTTATCAGTTGCCTCATAAATATCCTTTTCATAGATGTATAACTGTAAAAAGAGTCTTGAGGTTTGTGGAATTGAATTTCCTGAGAGCGTATCAAATTGCCTTTCCCCACAAAATAATATAGCAAGGAAGAAGAGAAGTAATAAATCCATTTAGTATTTCACTGAATCAAACCATTTATGACTAAGCCATGTAAACCATAGGTCAAACCACAGTACATCCTTAGTCACAAATGGTGATTGACAGTAAACATAGGTTATGACTTGGATTGCTAACACAGTTGATCAGCACAGGTGTTTAGATAGAAGTAGCTAGAAGGAGAAGCTAGAAGGAGCTACAACTAGAGAAGAAAAGAGAAAGAGTTCTGTTCAGGCTGTGGACTAATCCATCAGTCTCTGTGGTCATGAAAGGATTAAGTCGGCCAGTTAACATTTCTACTCTTGTTGAGTCTTCATATCTAGGTCCAGAAGACCTTGTGGTCAATCTTGGAATTATCTGGTGGTGCCTTTAGGACTTATCCAGGAAAATGTTAAGGAAACAGTTGCTATATTTTTAGCAGGAAAATTTCTCACACAATCTTCCCTTGCCTGGTAAACATGGTTTAGAAATAACCAATGAGTCAGTGGCTTCCTGATTAATTATGTTGTTAATTTTTCTGTGGTGTGTGATGTTCAGCTTATGAAGCAGACTACAGAGCCTCTTTAGATGCTTTTATGAATACAGAACTTGCGGTAAGCTTGTTCAAGTTTTCCTGGGTTCCACCGAGAGACTCTGCCTGGAACCTTCTTCACCAAGGCACATTATAAGTACTGAATAGAAAAGGTGGGATAGGGAGGAAGAAGTTTGGGTGAAGAGCAGATGTGCATCCTGAACATAATCCAGAGTGTGACACCTTCTGAGACACCTGGAGGATCAGGGAAAGCAGTGCTCAGAGCGGCAGAGTTCCACCTAGATTATGGTTAGCCATTGAACTCCCATTCCTTTCACTCTCTACCAGGAGCCTGGCCATGGTTGGCGTCATTTTTCTGAGCCCCCTCCTCCACATCCCCAGTCTGAGGGCAAATATAAGATGCAACACCCAAGTATGCAAGCTTTCTGAACAGCACCAACCCTGTGCATCTTATCACCTCATGGCCCATCCTTGTTAGTTCCGTATTCCTTAGTCTATACTGTATTTCTCAAACTACTTCTTACAAGCAAAAGTGTCTCAGGAACACTTTGCAGTCTAATTTGATCTATCAAAATACAGTGACTCCAATTTGTCTAAATCCAGAAACTGCACATGATTCATTAAGCCACCTAAGGTACAGACTCTGTATTAGCACAGTCTCAGCTGTGAGGCTCTGTGGGATTTCTCCATCAGGTAAGCAGGCTGGGGTGTGCAGACCTGCTGGTGCTCCTCAGGGTTCTGTGCTACTGCAGGAATGCAGGTGTCAAAGCTGAGGGGCTCTGTGTTGGGTTCATAATTTGCCCTGAAAGCTGTTGTGTGTGGGGCCTGAGTTGATAGAAGAACTCAGGACTAAGCTAGAGAAGAATCTCTGTGGCTTGATGGAAGAAAAGAATCCAGAGATTCCATCATGGACAACTTAACATATCTTTCAGCTCTGTGTGGTTTGGTAGTGACATTTAGTAACTAGAACAGATTTTAGTATTTGTCTCTCTCCTTACAGTCACTTTAACCGTCTCTCTGTGTTTAAGAACAGAGAGGCCTGAGAGGTGAGTGTAGGAATGTGAGCATGTGAGCCTCCAAGCTCTGTGAGATCATCTCATAGTAGAGTTGAAGCTCTTAAAAGTCCATCAGTTTCTTTCACATACTCATTGAAATGTTTTCTGTACAATTAGAATTAACCTACCTTGTCCAGAAAATATTGTCTAGGCATCTGCGAGTTTATTAAACTGATCAGAAAACAAATGCTAGTTGTTAAATAATAATGATTTCTTGCACAAACAGCCATCAGTGGCCTATGTACATACCACGCCGGGCCTACCTTCAGGCTGGGAAGAAAGAAAAGATGCTAAGGGACGCACATACTATGTCAATCATAACAATCGAACCACAACTTGGACTCGACCAATCATGCAGGTATGAAGATCACCATCCAACCTAAAATCACAGGCCATGACAGCCAAGATGGATATGACCTACGTGCTATTCCCAGTGTTTATGTACTGTTCAGGGAGACTTGTGTTTTAAAAAGTTGCTGAAGAATCACATGTACTCCTTTAAGTGTAATGTTTGCCTTTGGAAGACATGATCTTCAAATCAGTCTGGCCTTGGATACATTTTATTGGTTTTTGTATTGGTTTTGTATTTTGTAGCGCTAGAGATTAAACATGCTAGGTAAGCACTTTACCCTTGAGCTACAACCCAGTCCTTGGTCACATTTTTTCAAGTGTGATGTGAAAGGTATTTTCTAAGTCTGAGCCTATTGCAGTGTATAGCTGCTGCCCCTTCTTCTTTTCCAAGGCTAGCTCTTATGCAGGCCAGTGATTCATTTTTATTCCTCTTCAGTGTGTTTCCCCAACCTTTCCCCCATTATTATGTTTAATTATTTCCTCTGTGCTTTAAATAGGCCAGACCTCTTATTATTGCTGTGTGTGTTGTTGTTTGGGTTCACGCTCCTAATCACACACAGGGAGCTCCTCATATGAAGCTAACCTGTTTTTGCCTTCAAAATAGCTTGCAGAAGATGGTGCTTCTGGATCAGCCACAAACAGTAACAACCACCTAATCGAGCCTCAGATTCGCCGGCCTCGTAGCCTCAGTTCGCCAACAGTAACTTTATCTGCCCCACTGGAGGTGAGAAGGCTACCTCGTCTAACCAGGGTCACCTCTGTCCTGTGGCTTCTCCTCATCCTTTCTTTCTTTCTTGACTTGGCCTTCAGTTTTGCAGCCACCCCCTCTCTGATCAGCCATATGTTGCTGGTGAAGGGTGTTCTGTGCAGACCCCCTACATGCTTCTCTGTCTGGCTCAGATAACATGCTGGACTCTCACACAGTTCTCATTCTCATTTCGCTGACACCATGTGTGGTAACTTGTGCTGGATGTGGGCGCTCTCTTTTCAGAACTTTTACCATTCTTGTTGTGTTTTGCTCCTATTGCCTTTACCTCATTAGAACTGCATAATAACTCTTTGCAATACCAGTGCTTATATTGAGTTTTTAAACATAGCTGTTGCTTTGATCATTCTTTTTTCTTTGACTATAGGGACTTTCATTGTATGGGCGTTTGTGTTTCTGATGCACATCTTTATCTTTAAATCATTGCTGGACATCTGCTATTGCACTCTCCTGTTTGTGTTGTTTTAGTGCCATTCCTGAACACCGCAAATGTCAGAGAGTTAGAAAAGCCAGAGAGTAAACATTTGAAGTTCTAAACTTGACTTGCCTTAGAGATAGCTGTGGGTTCTTCCTTGCACTGGTCAAGCTGCTGCTAAGGAGGGATGGATGATTGCTTTTGCAGACTCTCAGGTAAATGTCATGGGTAACAGCTATGTCATTCCAGGTGGTTTTCTTCATTATTGGAGGTTTTTGTTTCTGTGCTCTAAAACTTGCCAATCTATTCTTCATTAGACTGTGAGCTCATTAAGAGCAGGGACACATTTTTCTCCACTCTGTAGAATCTCTATCCATAATGCTTAATACAGAATAATATTTCTGGTACTTACCCAGTGGCTACCAAATATTGGTAGTTATGAGTACTTAACATTATTGTGTGTTTTTAACCAACAACTAAGAAGTACATGTGTAGAAAAAGAGAAAAAGTATAAAGTTAGACTGATTTAAAAGGAAATGAGTGAAGAAACAGGTCTTTAGGAGCTTCTCCCTTGTCTGTCTCCAAGGAGGAGTGTTCTACAGTACCAGGTACATTTTGATACATTGGAGTAACACATGGCAAAGAGTTCTAATGCTCATTATTATTCCTTAGGGTGCCAAGGATTCGCCCATACGCCGGGCTGTGAAAGATACCCTTTCCAATCCACAGTCCCCACAGCCATCACCTTACAACTCCCCCAAACCACAACACAAAGTCACACAGAGCTTCCTGCCACCTGGCTGGGAAATGAGGATAGCTCCAAACGGCCGGCCCTTCTTCATTGACCATAACACAAAGACTACGACATGGGTAAGGCTGCTGCTTTTACTTGGCACCATTTTCACCTTGAGGCCTAGCATTACTTCCTTGCTTCCCATACTCAGTGGTCATATTTTTCATACAGGAGTGTCTCTGAGGCTCTCAAGGGGGTGTTGGGGCTAGTAGGCTGGTGAGTGTGGGGCCAGAACCTGATGGTCAGGGTGCCAGTGCCAGCTTGTCCTGCTTTCCTCACAGTGCTCCTGGAGAGCACCAGTTTTGACAGCTGGCCACATTTGGGAAATGGGTGGCACTCCGTATAGCTAGTATTTTAATGTTACCGCATCACCTCTCAGGCTGTTGCAATGTTATAAAGAATTATAATCTTTCTAAAGATATTTTTTGTCTGTTTCTTTTTGCAGTATTATTGACATTACCCCTGTTACTTGATTTGTCACTTTTTTTTTAGTTCCATCACATTATTATTTTGCATTTCTGTACTACATTTTAGGTCCTTTATTTATGTATTATATGACTTGGTTGACAGGTATTGAATGACTTGGTTGTAAAATCTGATCGCTCTTTTCAGTATTTTTTTAAAAATTATTTTTCTTACCCTGCTCACTTTCCTGTGCTCCTGAATCGTGAGTGAGAAAAGGTCTGTGTTGAATTAACTTAGGCAAAATGAGATTAAGCAAAGGTGATTATGTATATCTTTATATTCATCTGTCAGACATTTTTTTAGTTGAGCCAGTGGTAGCTTTTTCAATCAAGGTAGCAAAGTAGTTGGTATTTTTCCAATATATAATCTGTAGACCTACAACTGAACTGAAATAAGTTCTCTTATTTCTGGCTTGTTTGGGTACTACAAATTGTTTGTTTTTTTTAATGTCCCCATCTAATCATCTGGACAGAGTTAACTCAGAGATAGCTTAGTCCCATCATTTGTGCTGTTTACTTAAAACTGATGTTATATGAAAGCTGATTGAGTTTTGGAGATTTGTCCCTTGCCCAGGTTCTTCAGTGTTGGATCGAGTATGAACTTGCACTTTAAATCCCCATTTCTAGTGGTGGACCCCTAGTATGTCCCCGTGGTTCCTGGAACAGCAGTGTATGTTAAGGAGTTTGTTCTTATCCCACTGTGTGATGTTAATCCAGTCCCGTAAGAATTAAACTGGGAGTTACTCAAGTCCTATGGACCATAATACAGCATGTCCCCTTGAGGGCATTCTTGGCACGTGGGGCAGGCCTTCTCCTGTGGGATGTTTTACATCCTTGGCTCCTGGCACTGAATATTAATAGCTGCCATCACTCCCTTCACCAACATACTGATAACCAAAAATGCGCCACACATTTCCAAACACTCCTCAGTGAGAACCTCTTAAAGCTCTTCCTATTTTGTAGTAAAGGAATTTACTGACCTGCCAAGAGCACTTATCATTGAGATCTGATGACATTCATTTGGTAAACTGATAACTACTTCTAAAGCATCTAATGACATAGAGGTTCCTTTGACTCACCTTTTAGTCTGAGATAGTATTACAGGTTTGTGGGCCAGATAAGAATAACAGACAGGCAGCTCTTTGGAAAACAGAGTAATAAAGATTGGTTTTCGGTGTTTTTTTGTTTTGTTTTTTTTTTTGTCGACACAGAACCTATGGCTGCCCTGTGGTTCCCCTTTCCCATCACACTGCTGTAGTTTCAAAAACTCAGCCAGAAAGAAATTGGAGCTCCAGAAACAGGGGGTAAATGTTATAAAAGTAAATGGATTAGTGCATGGAGCCACTGTGGCTTGCCAACATAAGCTATGATTTTAGTAATTTGAACTAGCTTAGTAATCAAATCCCCTAACCTTTTCACAGCCTTTCACGCCACAACTGCACTGTAATTGCAACTGGGCAGATTTTATTTTAAATAGTGCTACCTTTATTTATTGCCAGCATCGTTGTTGAATGAAACCCAGTTTTAACTTTCAGTTGTCTCTTTCTACTTAGATACTTGTTACTAATTCCCTCACTTAAAATTTTCAGTTGCTAAAAAATTCTGTTGTTACTGCTGCTGCTGTTGCTGCGACTGCTACTATTAAAGATCTTTAAGGCAACAACTGTAAATTCCCCAAGTTGCTGCCCTTCTTAAGTAAACTCAGATGTGCTGCCACAGCTGTGTTATCTCATGTAAACAAAGGCCTGCACAGAATTCTCAGTGTGAAAGTCACACTCTAAATTACATGTGCATTTTGACAAAATTATGGAGGGAAGGAGGTTACCATCAGGATCATTTTTTGGCTCAAAATCTGTTTCAGCTTGGTTTGGGGGTTTGTTTTCTTTTTTAAAAAGAATAAATAAGAAGGCATCATAGAGCTGTATGCTTCTTAGATTCGAACATTAAAATAGTACAAGGAAGAAAACTGGTAGGACAGGTTAAGACTAAAGAAAATAATGCTTCCTGCTTTGGCCTGCATGCTACTGATTCTTACACTAAGAAATGTGAGAATATTCAGGCCATTTCCCTCTATGAACTGATTGGGTAAAATTCCATTCCAAGTATATTTTTAAGACCTATTCATCGATACATACAAATGAGGCACACAGCATGCCTGCCTTCTATTTGAAAAATATATCTGGCCACATTTTTAAGAGAAATGATTTTATTTTGACCTTACCTAGGTCAGGCTGGCAGGGAATAAATGCTGGAAGCCACCAGGAGGCCCGGGCTTGCCATGGAGTGGCTCAAAGCATTAGCATAGTTTTGTATTAAAAATACACACACACACACACACACACACACACACACACCTTAGTTAAGTTTCAGCTTTGTATTTATATCCAAGTTCAAGACAATAAAATTGATTGTAGCCTAGCCATTATTGCTGATCTCTTCCAGGATAGAAAGTATAAAGGATGAAGCACAAGGTTTTTTTTGACCAATCAGTATTCTCATATTTTATATATTACATTCTGTTTAAAATTTTTTCAACTGGATTAAGGGAAGCAGTTAATTATTCATTGTCCTTACTAGGCTGAAAAAAAGGAGAAGCCACCAAGTATGTTTACATATTTCATTCATATCTTGTGCAGCCTCATTAGTATTCCAGCTTGCCATCATCCCTCAAGTTGTCTGTCGCTACTGCCCTTGACTGCCACTCCAGTGATGGCCAGCCTTTTAGAGCTTTTGATGAGAATAAATAGCCAGCTGTGGCACACATGCCATAGGTTCGCCACCACTGTCCTACTGAATCAACTATGGGGGAACCTACCTCCTTGGGTGTTTTAAAGGCCTCGTAGGGAGAGTGATTTCAGTAGTCACTACCAGACAGCCCTTGAGTTTGGTCAGTGGAAGCAGTTGCCATTATTTTTATTAATGTTGGTAAAATAAAATGATATGACCCCTTAGGGCTTCTGGCCCTTATACTCTATGAAGCCTGGGTTTCCATTCAAGGCCATTTTAGCACATCTATGAAACTGGTATCATTTTATGTTTATTGTTACACACTTCCCCTCTTCTTCTCTCCAAATCACCAGTTTTTTGCCCAAAGAAACAACAGTTGATTATGATTCTAAGACACAACTGGCCTTGCACATAGCATCCAGAACCCTGTCTCCTTTTATGTGGTAGCTGTGCAGGGCTTTCTCTAAATCTGGCATAGTCATTGGCTGCATGGGGCCCCAAAGGTCTCTAGTAGCTGTGTCCTTACCTAGTGTAACCTAGAGTGAGAATTGAGTAGATAGCTTTTATGGATTTTGATGCTTTAAACCTTTCCTTTGCGTACAGTTAACCAGTCAAAAGTATTTATCATATCATCTAAATGTTTAATACATTTCTTTACTCTCTATATGTTCATTATAGTACTGTAGCTTACCAGACTCACTTTGTTCCACCTCTCAGACTTTTAAAAAGAAATTAGATTCAGCATTCATTACAAACTGCTAAAATGTTTCTTCAATTAATAGTTTGCAGTACTTAACAGAAGGCAAATTTAAACTTTATTTCTGTGCTCTTTTTATTTTTATCATTTCCCAAAATCTATCCATGGATACTATGGTTTAGCTTATGCTGTTGACTCAAGGAGTTGTTGAAGAAAAAACTTTTAGTGACTTGATAGCAGCAAAGGCTGGAAAATAATTGAACTAAGCTAGTGTCAGATGTCTTAAGAGTTATCTTTTTAATCTTGGGCAGATAATGTGTTTATTATAGTTGACAATATATTTTCCTGAGTTTTGTTCATCTTTTGAGTTTGAGCTATATCATATTTAACTGGTAGTTCCCAGTCTCTGGTCATAACCCATGGCCAAATCTGTATTCTCGGTGTTATTTTTCTCATATAAACAGACCATGTGTTCAACCTCCTAACAAGGAATGTTGCAAAAATCATGTCTGACGATCCTTCGTAAATCAAGCATGACCCAAGATGTCAGAGTACACATTTCTTGATTCTCTGTGGTACTTTATGAAGAAAAAATAAAAAGTTTTATAAATTTTTATGTTAAAACATAAATGAGAACCCAGCATGCAGAACTTGGTGGGAATCTCAATACAGCTCCATAGCTGGATACATGATTTCCTACAGTGAAGCAGGCTGTCTCTGGAACAACCATGTGACTTGCCAGTTAGACCAGATTCCGAAACCCTGCCTACCTCAGGAAGTAGCAGAAGGACACAGGCCTGCTGGGGTGCTCCTGTGTATGAAGACCCCAAGGGGGATGTACAAACCCTCACCTCCCTCTCAATCTGGAGTAGGGCAGTGTCATCACTGGCACTCTTTGTTCTGGTCTCCATAGTACATCACTGTTAGGACCTTGTCCCCCATCACCTTTCCAAAGTCTAGGGGAAATAGTTGATCTTCTTTTTAAATATGTGTACCCTCCTCCTTTCACTAAGCACAAGATAAAGAGTAGAGACTTGAGAGATGGTTCACCAGGCTTTCTGTAAAAAGCAAAGAGATGGGATCCTTCCCATATTCCACTCACAGACAACCTCATTGCAGCATCCCAAGGAGGAAAGGAATCCATATCTACACAAGAGTCCCTCTTAACATCTTCCACCTTTTATATTTTTTGTTGCAGGAAGATCCACGCCTGAAATTTCCAGTACATATGCGGTCAAAGGCATCTTTAAACCCCAATGACCTTGGCCCTCTTCCAGTGAGTATACTGGAGATGCATGGAATGGTCTGAAAGCGTGTTTTCATTTACCTGGCCAGTGTAGATGGAGAGGCCCCATGAATCTTCTCTTTCTCCAGGCTTCCTCCATCTCACTGGTCTGTGTTTGTTAATAGGGTTGAATTTTTGTTGGCATCTAAGTACTTTTCAGTGTATGTGATACCAGCACTCAAGAAGTAAGTTTCTGAGTTGCTAGGCTCTTACTGGAAGGTAGACCTTGAACTAGGTTATGCAAGAGGCATCACTTCAGGTAACAATTTAATCAGCACACATTTATTTTACAAGTCAATAACCACTATGTTCCATTCATTTGCTGATGCAGTCATAGCAAAAATAAGTAAATACTGAAAACAGTGTGGCAGAAGAAAAGTATAACTATTCACAGAAAGTTTCTGTAAGTCACTTAACCTGCAAATATGAGGTTTTTTTTGGTTTTTGGTTTTTGTTTGTTTGTTTGTTGTTTCTACTGGGGATCAAACTCGGGACCTTGTGCTTTCAAGGCAGGGAGTGGAACTGCTGAGCTAAATCCTTGCCCCTATTTTGAGTTTTTCTTCCTTGTGGGTGACTATTTATAAATCTAATGTTTTACTGGCTTATTTTCTTTGGGAGAGTGGAGTTCTTTGGTCCAAATGGATTTTGAATGAAACCTCATTGTGTATGTTCCTCAACAATGTGCTGCTCATAAAGAAAGCTAGAGGCTAGGGGGCAGGAGGTTGGGTGCTAAGACTAATGTTAAATGGGATTTGCACTTTGTGTGTGTGTGGGGGGGGGTTTCCAGGCATAAGAACTATTCTGTTGGCTAGCGTATGATATATTACAGCAAAAAAATCCCTTTTTTGTTAATATGTGTTTATAATGCATAATAAATACATTCATTATGGGGAATTGATACATATACATATCACATCTTCATCTATTTTACTTCCCCTCATTATGGCAAAATTTGGGGCTACAGAAGTTAGGATTCATTGTTTATTCATTATAACACGTATATAACTCACCATCCAAATCTGTTTGGTTCCTGGGTTCAGAGGGAGAGAGTCTGGAGAATATGTTTAGAAAGTGAAACAAAGTATGTTGTTTGAAATCACTGGATTCCTGAGTCTCAGTTAGCAAGTAGGGACAATTCAGATAATGAAGGCATACCAGCCTTATTATCTAAAAAAGTATTCAAATCATTTACTTCCTGCAGGAAGAAAGTGGACTCTTCAGTAGGGTTAAAATAAAGACCCAGGTCCTTTTAGGGCAAAAAAAAAAAAAAAGCCTCTGTGTGGCTTTGAGCAGCAAGCAGTTTCTATTCAGTTTTGTGGATTGAAACTGTGGTTTTGACACCTGCCTGTATGCCCACAACACTGCTCCTCCTACTACAAGTTGCCATACATACCCCAATTCCCCCATTAGCCCACAAGATCAAACCCCTAACAACAAGCCCAATATCCAGTCAAGTAAGTGTTGAACCTCAGGATAATGGCGACAGGGCCCCTAACCCCATAAAACAGTATTGCAGCCCCACATACAGTACTGTTCCAGCTGTGGGCCCCACCATACCTCTGGAGTGGCTCTTTACCACTTCCTCTTGCAATACCTACAATAAAATTATTTTTACTTTGCACAGGTCTTCTGTTCTGACTCCTTTCTCTATTTCTGTGTTAGAAAGAGAGACAAGTCCAGCGAAGATAAGTCTGGGGACCTTAGACCCCAGACCCATTGGACATAAGAGTTCCTGAGTTTGAATAGTGAGAATTAAGGGCAGAGAATACCAGTATTGTGGTTTTTAGCCACTTAACATAAATAAAATCACTGTGTCTAACATGCTTTCATTAGCTCTTCTCCTCTCTCATTGTAGTACTTAGTATTTATTTAACCAAGTAAGTTTTTCAACTTCAGCTTTCATATATGCTGAGGTTCTGTGTGGAGCTCTTGACGTAACACCCCTGTTTCTTGTTCATCACACAGAGAATGCATCTGAGATGAAAGAATGTGTGTGTGTGGCTAGATCTTGTCAGGCGTTAACCAGTGATATTTATGTCTGTTCTCAATGTAAAGATGTACCTTTACAGAGAGAAGAAATAATTGCCTTTGACAGTGGCCCTGCTAACTAATGTTTATATTCTCTCTTCTCCCCTTTGTGGATATTAGCCTGGCTGGGAAGAAAGAATTCACCTGGATGGCCGCACATTTTACATTGACCATAGTAAGTAGGCACTTCTGTGGCCACATGGGTGTTGCAGGGTAATGGGAGCGGAAGGGGGATTCAAATGTGATAGTGAAAGCTTTGTCATTTCACTCTTTGTCCAGGCAGCCAGGTGCTGTGTGGAGAGAATGATACCAGAGAGTCAGTGCCCTCGTACGGTACTGTGCCTTCACCCTCAGTTTGCTTTCCAGTAGCCCATCAAGCTTTTGCCCAATTTGATCTTGTGACTATTAACTTTTTTATGATTTTTTTAAAAATCTCTTTTGGTTGACTATCCCTTGATATTTGCGCTTTTATTAAATACACCCTGAAAATAGAAAATAAGATTAGAAGCAGTGATTTAGTCGAAACAGATCTATGTAAGTTTTCAGAACACTGCCTTCAAAGATCTTGTGGAGAGATGCCCATTCTGACCTTATTTTCTATTCACAGCATGTTTCCTTGCACCCAACACACTAATGTATATATATATATAGTTGTTTTCTTTAAATTGTAGTATATTTGCTGAAGACATTTGCTTCAGCACCTGTGAATAAATGTGTGGCTTCTCATTTCAACTAAAAGTTACACTAATAAATGTCTGCTTTTAGCTGATGGGGGTTTTTTTCATTCTTTTGTTTTTTTGGTGGTTTTTTTTGTTTTGTTTTGTTTTGTTTTGCTTTTCTTTCTTTGAGGTGACATGTTCTTCATGAAATCATTTTTTTATGGCCCTTAAAAGTTCTGGAAAAGTGTATTAAGACTCTAAGTAGATGTAAAGTTCAAATTGTATGTACAGTTTGGTAGTATTTTGTTTATTGTTTTTATTTGCTTCATAAATGGGAGGTCTGTGCCAGGTTTTCCCACATTTTCATAACTAAACAAAAGTACATTGATAAGCCACTTGCTGAAAAGTTTTTTTATATACAGAACTTGTCTCTGCCTCAGGCATGGTAGCCTTCTAGGATGTCACCAGGGTACCAAGTGCAATGCCTGGGGACTTTGTACTCTAGCATGTAGTTTAAGGCATTGGTGGCGAATCTATGGCACAAAGCTGTTTGTCATCATTGAAAGCTCTAAAAGGTTCTCCATCACTGGTTTAAGTATAAAATGCGTTAAGCGGCAAGCCCAGCAATTCAGAATTAAGCCAAAAGTAAACATCTCTTACTGGGGGAAGGATACCTTTGGATTTAAATCAGATATTTCAAGACATACAGACATAGTTCTCATCTTTGATCAAAAGAACATTCTCATTTGCATAATTTCCAAAGTTATTTATACTTCTACTCTTGAGAGAATTTGATAAAATCAAGGACAAGTCATACTCATTTTTCCCCACTTTAAAAAAGTTCTCTTTTTTTCAGTTTTCAAAGACAAATATAAATAATACTGATCATTTCATTGAAACATCTTAAGTAGTAACACTTCCTTGGTCCGTGACTACAAGCATTTCATTCACTATAACTTGTTCTGGCTGACAGCCTGATGCTTAGTTCAACCTGGAAAGAACTTTGTTCATAGTACACCCCAGGCGTCAAAGGGAAGAACAGTGCTATCACAAAGAGGTCCACTACTATCCACTAGAAACCAAAATTATGCTCTGCTTCCCTAGGGCTTGTGTGGACCTCACATAATATTTAAAGGATACTTGGTAAATAGAAACTTGAAGTCGGGTTCATGGAGTGTCGGTGGTGAAGGTCTTAGAGTTGCTGTCCTTAAGTAAAATGGAGAGTAGCCATCTGGAGAAGCAGCAGCTGCCTGACAGCCTGCTCACAAAGAGGATGAAGGGATGACTGCTTGCTAGATGCCTGGGTGCTCCTGACTTGCACTCTGTCTTCTCATTGTTCTAGTGCTCATCTTGGGCATTCTTCATTCCCCATGGGAGGCTCTTCTTTGTTCCCATAAACCAAATAGTATGGGAGCACCGTGTGTGGAGCCTAGTGGCTCTGAGCTGTACCAATATATTTGTCATCATGGACCTACAGAATAAAATGTATTTTTCCTTTATACAACAGTACTGAAAGTTTCTCTTAAACAGAGGAAAAATTAGATGACCAAAAACCATTTAAGAAAAAGATCTGTTTGAAAGAACTCCATTAGCTTTTAATGTTGCATTTCTGCCCAATCTCTAATTTGCCAAGCTTTACTCAATGAAAAATGATAAAGGGGAGGTGCATGTCAACAAAACACTTGAATTCATTTACCTTTCCACCAAATTCTAGACTGTAAGAAGTACAGAATCCCTACATTTTTCAGAGGCTTTATTTACTAGGGCAACAAGTTTTATCCAAAATAAGCTTAATTTCCTAATAGTTGTAATATTTAGGGATTCTCTTACCTTGAGGATTTTGCCGTCATAATACCTGCTGGACAGAGGTTATCAACAAGGTCATCCCAACATGTACCGCTGTACTATTTCCGCAGTCATAAGTTCTTCAGTCACCCTGTCTGCCAGCGTAGCTGAGACATGTGATTGAATTACAAGCATGAATGTACTTGGCCTTTAAGTAATTATTTAATCCTTCACGATAAGTTAGACATTTTCGAGATTAACAGTATTCCAACCTTAAAGACCATATTTCAGGAGCAACACATGTTTAATTCTAGTCTTCAATTCAGACTCCTTGATCTATTTGGTGACATTTTTCAGTTAACTCCTATCTCTCTGTCCTGGCATAAAAACGTAAAGGAACAACTGGAAAGGAATGTGTAGCCCTCATGAGAAAGATGTCATTCTTCTCAAGACCAGATGTACCCAGCAGCTGAGTAATTGGCCACAGGTATCTTAAATATAAAATTTAGAAGAAATTCCAGTGATTCTTGGTTTGGTCTTCTCTGCCAAGAGTCTTGCCGGACCTGTTAGTAGTAGCTAAAGTGTCTGTGTTTCTCATCCTTCTTCTTTTGTGCCCTTTGATTAGAAATAAAATGTCTCAAAGATGAAAAGGAAATTTAGACTCCAAAGTTCTTAAAATTGTGTAACTGGCCACCATTCATTCATACTGCCAACACTTAGCTTCGAAAATGATCTTTATTGTAACCACACAGGAACCTGAGTGGTTCTGAAAGGTTCTGTTTTAGAAGAACTTTTCACATCAACTTCATTCAGTCATTACAAAGATAACATATGGAGTTCTTCTTACTTGCCAGAACCAATGTCAGATGATAGAAAGGGAGTTGCAGAGATGAATAACACAGTGCTCCTGTCCTCAAGGGGCTTAGGTCCAGAGGGAGTGCCAGGAGAGGTGCCTTAGCTGTGGTTAGCAGTGTGAACCAGTTATTTGGATGCTGGAGTGAGGGAGGCTGAAAGGGGTGGTATAGAATGGCTTCACTTTCAGATAAGTTTCAAACACCAGGAAACACTGAGCCTGGTAAGCCCAACAAAGAGCAGCCATAGGAAAGGGAAGATGTGTGCAGGTCTACAACTTTGTGTAGAGTATGCCGTGTTCAGAGAAAGGGCCACATGTTCCACCCAACTGATGTGCAGACAAGGCTGGTGTGGCACCCAGCAAGTCACAAGGTGTCTGCCAAGTGTGGGACCTCTGGTTCTTTCTGCAAGCAGTGTGGAGCTCAAAGGGCCTTCCTTCTCCAGAGGGGAGTGACAGTAGTCAAATTTGTGCTAATTTAGAAAGAACCTTTTGGCAGAGATGTCAAGTAAGTCTTGAAGGTCTGGGGATGTTGCTCAGTGGTGACATGCCTACCTGGCAAGCACAAGGTCCTGAATTCAATCCCCGGTACTGGAAAAAAAAAAGAATATCTTGGATAGGAGTGAATGAGAATAAAACCAGGGAAGCCTAGAGAATAATCTAGGAAAAAGATGAATGCCCCAGAAAGGAGCATAGCAGAGAGGGGCACAGTTCAATGACCGCTGGGGAGTTGTAAGACCATGTCCTGATTTGGACAGTGAATGGGTTGTGATAACTGCTAGCCTAGAAGAGAGGGTTACATGAGTAGTTGTGGTGATGGTCTTCCTGATTTGGGTAGTGGAGCTTAGGACCCTGTGGGAAATCCAGGTACAAATAGATGTCTGTGGTAAGGCTTGCAGTTCAGGTCTGGTCTGAAAATTTGGGAATCCTCATGTGTTGGAAATAGGCAGTTTATTTTCTGTTTCAGTGATAAAATTCAGTCAATACAGTTATAATCCCAGTTGGTGTTTTAAGTCACAGTTTTTACTGAGCTGTATTTGTGTGCTTTATTTGGTTGTCTTTTCTTTTTCATCACAGTAGCAACTTTTGCTTTTCAGAGTCTTCTGTTTTCAATGTAAAGGACCCACAAATGCCTTTTGCTTCCACTTTGGTTCTCACAAACAGTTGAGACTTCATGTGAATGTTCTGCCACCATGAAAATAAAAGATTCTAAACAGATCATGTACCTGAGAAGCTTTTTTTAACTTCACTTCTGATTTAAAGTAATACAAGACTTTCAGAAATTCCTGGCAGTTGTTAAAGCTGAATTCATTAGCTATTGTCAGCCCAATTACAGGGTAACCGTATACAGTTACTTTTCAGACATTTGTCTTCCCTTTCTCCCCTTTGTTAACTAACATGGAAGACCCATCTTCCCCAATCTGCCCTATCTACGTTCTTTCATAGGAGCCTCTTCAGACCTGGCCCTCCAGCATACACAGAGGATCCCTGAAATCTTAGGCACAGTTATAAATCTCTAGTGACCCAGGACAGCTGTTGTGTGTTATTACCTAGACAAGTAACAGTATAGCTAGCATTGAGCAGACATTCTCTCTTTGACTCCTTTGGAAGAAGGAAAATCCCTTTTGCCACTCTGGCCTGCAGGGACACTATTCTCTGAAGTTTTCATTGTGTCTAATTCTCGTTTTTTGGACTACCATAGTTGCTTTGATTTTTGTGTGCGTGTGAGTGACGCATGTAATGGATTATTCATTTTATCAGTGCAGGATTCCTAATTGAAAGCTGTGTTTCAACACTATAAGCAAATAAAAAAACTATTTGAAATGTCAAAAAATCCTGTGTGTTTGTTAACCTTTTGAGGAACTAAAACTTTTTGTGTCTTTTTTTAATTAAATGAAAATCAAGATCAAGTTATAAATCCTTGGAAGGAGGGTTTATAATTAAAATGACAGCAGATTGCCTGCCAAAGACAGTGCAATTAGATGGTCCACTTTAGTTGTGCATTTTCGATTATTTTTAACTGAATAGAATTTGAAGAATTTACCATGTAGAGTACTGGTACCTTCTAACCCTAAAATACTAAATTTTATCCCTGGGGGACAAAGTAGGGGACTGGACAACTTTTGCAGAATTCAGTTATCATTCTTCCTAAAACATCCTTTAAATAGGATAGATTTGGTGTTGATTTTTTTTTTTCTTTTTTAACATTTCAGATAGCAAAATAACCCAGTGGGAAGACCCAAGACTGCAGAACCCAGCTATTACTGGTCCGGTCAGTATTCTGTTTCTGACTCTTTGGCATACATTTTGGTTTCATCTAAACACATGTTTCTTGTGTATTACTATTACTATTACTATTACACCGAGGACCTGGTACATTGAAGCAGATAAACATTGTTCCTATCTCCTCCTTACCATTTCTAGGTGTGGCTGTATGTACCTTTTCACCAAGACTTTCATTTTAAAGGGAAAGAAAGTGGTTTAATAATGGTAGCACATTTAAATATGTTTCTTCTCCTTTGTAAAAAGGTAATTTAAAAGTGCAAATCCTCCCAGCTCCTGTCTATGTAGAAAATTGTCATTTGTTTAGGCCAAGGTTAGTAAATATGTGCTGATACATTTAAATCTCTTCCAGTTTAAACATCTGTAGACTTTTCTGTTGAGGTTGCTTTCTTCCGGTGCTTGCAGAGTCAGGAATCTTCAAATTTGCTGACCCACTGACTTTTCCTCGCCCATGCCAGCTAGAAAAAGAATCCATCCTAACTTAGGTACAGTGACCTCCTAAGGTATTTGCAGCACACTGTGTTCACAGAAGAAGAGAGAATTCACTTGTTGCGGAACCCTGTGGATAGTTCCATAGGATGAGACCACACTCACCATATCCCGGTAGCTTTTGCTGGTAGTTATAGGCATGCACAGAGATACTTTGGAATTATAGGAAAAGACCCAAGTTTAGCAAAAGATTCTAGATTTGGGGCCTTTTTAAAAGATTGTGCATTGGGAGTATAGCATAGTAGCAGAATACTTGCCTAGTATGTATGTATGCATATATGTAGTTCTGGGTTCCTTCCCTGCAACCACCAAAAAAGAATCCTCTAAAAGACTAGAGAAAGGAAAGGAACTAAAGTTTATTCTATCATGTACTAAGCCAAGGGCCCAACAGTTACATTTCAAAAGTGAATTTTGTTATTTTGGTTATATCGATAACTGACATCCCTTTAGCCGTTTGTTGGATTTATTCAGCTATATTGAGACTTTCCTATTCAAAGTGCTCCCCAAAAATGATTATCTACTTTTTCTTCTGTGTACCTTTCTTACTACAGTGGTTCATTTTTTCACATAAGGTCACATAGGTGGGTTGTTAGAAAAGTATTTTCCACTCTACATCATTAGAAACTTGGGCAATAGGTAAGTTCAAGAAACTGCATTTTTCAGTGGCAGAAAATGGTTCATGTCATAATTTAAAATTTTCCAACTATGTCAACTATGTCTTTCTATCACCTACCTTCACTCCAACACTGTTAGTCCTTATTAAGTGTTAAAATTATTTAGCCTCATAAATTCAGGTGGACTCACTCTCAAGAAAGGTCTATTTTGTTCTGTTTCCTAAGACCTTTGTTTACTCTTATTATTATTGGTGATTCTTCTTTTAGTAATAGTATGTATACTTATTATCAACAGCATAGACATTTGACATTTGGCATATTATTCTAAATATTTGGCAGTTTTTCATATGATTTTTCTTCTTGATTGTGTAATTACTTACAATCTGTTTTTTTAATGTCTAAGAGGTATGAGGAGGTCTCACCCATCCAAGTATTATTCCTAATTTTCTTTCATTGTAGTCAGAGAATATTGCTATGGAATATTATCAGATATTTGAAGTTTCCTTGGAGGCTTGGTCATTTTCTATAAAGTTATTTTTGTGTTTTTAAACTATGTATTGTGACTTTGATTGGATATAGAGTTCTATATGTATCCTTCAGTTCAGGCCTATAGGATTGAAGTCTTCTGTGTTATTACTATTTTTCCTGACTACATTCTCTAATCAAAGAGTTATGTGAAAATCACTATAGTGATTGTTGCTCAATCAATTTTTTCTGAGATTTATATAATTACATTCACTCTCTTCTTTTTTGCCTAGAGTGTATTTTCAATCTCTTTGCAGTGCCAACTTTTTTCTACCTTCAATTGATAGAGTACTATGTGTGTGTGTGTGTGTGTGGGTGTGTATGTGATTATAAGTTATACTTCTGTTCTTTTAGTGCTCACCTTAAAATTCTTAACCAACATGCTTAATTTAAGGTTAAAATTAATCACTCCTGGATATCATCAGGACCTCAGAGAACATTAATGCTATTCTTTCCCATTCCCATTTTCTTTTTCTTTTTCTTTTTCTTTTTTTTTTTTTTTTTTTTCAGCTTTAATTGAGTTTATCGGTACATTTTAGGGATACAGTACAGTTACATTCATTGTTGGGATCTTGTACCTCCACATGACAAGTCTTGATTCTCATTTTTTCCCCTTACCCCTGCCCTCCCTTCACCCCCTCCTCCCCTCCCCATCTACAAATACTTTATTTCCATCTTTTCATTCTCTCACATTTTTTTCTTTTCCCTTGTTACCCTTCCCCTACTCATCCCACCTTCCCTACACCTTTAGCTCCTTTCTTCCCTTTCCCACTCCCATTTTCAATGTCATTGCTGGGCAGAGTTTTAAACCAACTTGTCTTTAAATTTTCCAAATAGTGTTTTATCTTTTTTCTCCAATAGTCAATATTTATTTACTTTTATATACATAAACAAATTTCTTTGCCCACCATAGTTGTTGCATTCATTTTGTTCCTGGGTTTTCTTCTTAATGAAGTACATGGTACAGGTCATGGTTCTCTGCAACAGTATCATCTGGGAACTTGTCCGAAATGCAGGTTTTCAGGTCCCACCCCAGACCTGAAGCAACAGCTCAGAATGTTTTACCAAGCCTTTGCAGGGATTCTGATGTCCACTCAAGGCTGAGAATGATCTCTTTTATGCCTCAACTCTAAATGTCTAATTGCACCTCTCTATTAAATGTTAAGTTCAGCTGATTATAGAATTCTGGGTTATATTCCCTCAGCACTTTAGAGACAGTCCTATGTGTCTTCTGGCCTCCATAACTGATGATGAAACATTTGCTGTTGTTGTAATTGTCATTTCCAATGGCTAAAGCTTTTCTCTGGTGGTTTTGAATTTTTCTCTGTGTCTTTGCTATTCTGCAGTTTCATTTTCATATATGCATATGTGGCTTTCTCTTTGTTTATCCTGCTTTGAACTCAAGATTCTTTGGTATGGAGATCATATCTTTCCTCTGTTAGGGAAAATTCTTAGCTGTTATTTCTTCACATACTGCATTTTTCCCACTCTCTGATTATCTGACTTTAAAACTCTGAGCATTTGGTTCACTTTCTGTCTTTATTGTCTTTTAACTGTCCTCATTCTCTTATCTTCTGTCCCCTCCCCCCTTGTCTGTCTCTCTCTCTCTCTCTCTCTCTCTCTCTCTCTCGCTCATTCACATGTGTTGGCTGTACAGTAAGCTGTTACTCAGTTCACCTAGTTAATTCTTCAGGTTTTTTATTCATTTTTGTATTCATTTGTCTGTTATTTCAGTGATTATCTTTAAAGTTCTATTTAGTCTTTTAAATTTTGCTTTGTGTTCTGAGACATGCTGTCATTCATTCATTTATCTCTTACCATTTTAAAAACACTGGGTGACCTCTTTCAGATTACTCTGTTACATCTGGTCCTGGGGTAGTAAATCTTCTTTTTCTATGTCTGTAAAGTCTTCATAATGGTGATTTATTATTGGTTCGGTTTACATTGTTAGAGTGTGTGAGTATGTGAGTGTTTTCACCTTCACTGACTTACCATGGGGCTTTTATAAGTCCTGACTTGTATTTATAGTCAGCTTACCAGCCTCGGTACATGCCACTCAGGATAACTGTGGGCCTCGTAGCCCCTTTGACAGAGGCCTAACATATGGATTAATTATATATCTGTGGGTTTTTTCCCCATGTATGGTCCTAGATAGACGATCAGCCTCCCTTGCAGCTTTCCTGTGCTGTTTGGTAGAGTTTTCTTGCCCCATTCAGATATTAGGGTCTGGGCAGAGGACTCTGCAGTAGTTCCCTGGGTCACACAGACTGTTGGTCAGTTTCGCATCTCTGTGGGTGAAGATGACACCTAAACCCAAGTTCCTATGTGTAGGTCCAATGCCTACTTATTTCTCTAACTTTAAGTCTTTCAGCTTATCTGATACCTGTAGTTTTTCTCTTTTTTCCAAATAATGAAAATATTAGCTCTAGCCAGACATGATGTCACATGCTTGTGATCCCAGCACTCAGGAGGCTGAAGTAGGATTATGAGTTCAAGGCCAGTCTAGACTTCATATGCATAGCAAGACCTTATCTAAAAAGAGAGAGAGAGATAGCCAACATTTTTACATATTTTTAAGGAGGAGGGATCCTTTCTGTGGTATCTGAATGCAGCATTACTATAAGTCAGTATGCTGTCTCTCTGACAGATACCACTCTTAGTAGTGCCCTTGAATGCTCTCCATGCATGCTATTAGAATGAAAACCATTGTGCTTGTGTGTAATACTTTGTACTTTTCCAAGAACTTTTTAATCAGCTGATTTGAAACTCTCAGGAATCCTCTCAGAAAGACAGGGAAGATGTTATTATCCCTACTTTAATAGAGGCTCTGAAAGCAAGCTTCAGACCAGCCCTGGAACCTGGATGTACTGCCCTCAGTGACATCTGCACATATGGCACAAGCCCTTCTCTCCCAGGAGTGCCAGTGTCATCTGCATGATAAGCACAAAAAACATTGAGCACCAACACAAGGCAGACCGCCCTCCATACAAAGAGCATATTTGGTACACAACTAAATTCATAGATGTGTTCATCATAAAGTTTATTTTACAATTTAAATCCTGTGTGAAAAAATGAGTTGCCAGATTTTCAAGACAGAACAATTAATTTTGGTGTCTGATACAAGAAATGTAAATGTAATTCTCTTCAGAAGCTTCAGTGGATGGATGTCTTTGTCCTGGTGTATTGTTGGAATCTTTTTAGGAAGAGAATGTAAAATTAGCTTTCTTACTCTATCATACTGAGAACTATATGTAGTGAGGAAAGTAACTGCTAAAGGAAAATAATAAGTATTCAACTTCCATGCATTCATTCCCCAAAAAAGCACAAACAGAACTATCTCAGCTTCTTATCTCCATCTCCATCTAGCCAGGTTACAAGGCAGGCAAGAGGATGGGTGTCATAGGCTAGGGGCCACATTTTGAAATCTATTCCTTGGGAAATCTGTTGCTTAATTAAGCCTGTTGAACTTGCATACACACTGATGAATATCCTAGCTGGTAGTAGACTCTTTAGAATCCAGATCTTCTAGAGCCGACAGAAGAGAGTAGAAGGAAACGTTTTCAGAGTAGTTCCCTTGTACCGCAGTTCATCCTAACTGAAGCCATCACTGGAATGCTTTCCCTCCTCTGGACTTGCCACTCACTCTTCTGGTTGTTCCTGTGTCTCTCGTTTCTATTCAGAAATCCATACTCAAGCTGTCTTCTCTGACCATCTCACATAAAATCACTCCCCAGAAATCTGCACTGTCTATGGATCCCTTTTTTGCACCCACAGTCATAACAGTTATCTGTGTTTATTCACTTCTTACTGCCTATTGCTTCCACGAGGTTGGAAGCTCCAGAATGACACTGGAAAAGGAATTCTTGCTTTATATACAGGTATTTTCTTAGCACTTAAAATGCCTGACACAGAGTAGGTGCTCCAGAAGTGTCTGCTGAATGAGTGAGCAAGTGAACTAACAAGGAGCGGGGTGGGAAGAGGAAGAAGAGGGAAGAAGGGTGGGAAAGAAGAAATTTTAGTTTGTTATGGGTTGTAGTGCTGATGATGTGTTATGGATTGTCTTTGTTAGCTTGTATCAGAACATTGTATCCTTGTCTTTATGTTGATGATTGTCCAAATATTGACAAGAATCAGAATTCATACATGATTTTATCAGAATAAACACTGCCTAAAAAGCATGGAATTATGTAGAAAATTAAATGAAGGTGGACCTAAAAACTAGGATCAGACTGCACGCAGTATGAATTGTCTTTAGAACATTAAGATATATAAATATGATGTGTCAGATTCAAAACAAATGATATTTAAAGAGTAGCTATTTTAGCAGAGCGTGGTGGTGCACACCTGTAATCCCAGCACTTGGGAGACTGAAGCAGGAGGATCACTGTGAGTTCGAGACCAGCCTGGGCTACATAGCAAGTTCCAGGTCAGTCTCAACTACATAGTGAGACCCTGTCTCAAAAAAACAAAAACAAAAAAAAAACAAAAAAAAACAGTAGTTATTTTGTTTTGGGATATCTATTTGTGTAATTATATCTTATCTCTTTATGGTTAAGAATAAGCATGATAAAAGTTATAAGGTCTGGCAACATTTTACTGAGGATAATATGTTTCATTGGCTTAGTCCAAAATAATATCACCAGAAGTATTCTCTGCCAGAATTCATACTATTCACTAAAAAGCAGCCCATTCTCTGAGTGTGAGGCCATCACAGCTATTTCTGTATATATACAAAGGCCAGTCTGTTTTGCCTCATAAAAAAATTCTATACCTTTTCAGCAGCTCCAAGTCAGGGCTCTGAATCTAAGCTTCTTTACAATGTAGCAAATACTGACTAGTCTAATGACTACTTAAAAATATTGTGTTTCGAGGGATTTACCTCAGTGGTTCTGGCACCTGCCTTGCAAGCACAAGGACCAGAGTACAATCCCTGAGCTGACTCAGACCCTGCTACTGCTCTGCCTCGTAGAGAAGTCATTTGTATGTAATTTAAAGAAGTTCTTGCCCAAAAGCACTGTATAGTAAGGGGCAAACCTAGTGACTCCTCACTTGAAGATATCCAGAATGCCATCAGTCCAATTCTATATATTTTTTAAGAGTATCAGTTTACTTCGCTTTCTGCTCGTATTTCTCCACAAAGATTTTAAAAACATAATTAGGCTTTTTAGAATGTCCAATATATGCTATTTTTGGTTTGGGTTTTTTTGTTTGTTTGTTTGTTTGTTTGTTTGTGTTACTGGAGATCAAACTCAGGTCCTTGTACTTGCAAGACAGGCGTCTGAACCACTGAGCTAAATCCCCGGCCTCAGTATATGCCATTTTGGCATGAATATTCAAGTGTCAAAACCAGTATATCTTAACTGGGGAGGGAGAAAATACACTTATGTAAAAGACTGAGAAAAGTGACATAGAAAAAACATATTTAGTGTGTGTAACATGATTTCTTGACTATCAATATAGTTGTTTCCCAGGGTAAAAACTAATTTCAGTGCTAATTAGGCTTAATCAGTTCTAGGAATTGCTCATGTTTTCTGTAGCTAGTATGTAAATTTTTTGTGGAAAATATGGAAAGTGAGTATTTTAAGATTTATGATTCATGAAATTCTCTGAATGCTAGCTCAGTATACATGAATTAAGCATGCTGTTTTCATTATCTATATTTATAAATTTATCTTCCAGGCTGTTCCTTACTCCAGAGAATTTAAGCAGAAATATGACTACTTTAGGAAGAAATTAAAGAAACCTGTGAGTAATGTTCTCTTCCCAAAATGCTGTTTTCGGTCATTCCTAAGTCACCAAAGTTACTTCAGTGAGAAAGGACAACTTTGTTACTTTTACATGTGTACTAAAAATATTACCTTCCTTATTTCATTGAACTTTGATCCACCTGGATCTTCAATCTGAATTTTCTTTTTAACAGAAATGGTAAGTGAAGATTAACTCAGTATTATATATCAAATCACCTGAAGGGTAATTTCTTTTGTAATACAGAAGACAGAAACAAAGGATCTGTGGGAAATAAAATAATCCAGCACCTTAGTCAAAAAATCTGGAGAAAACTATACAATTGCATATAGTTGTCATATTTTAGAAAACCTGTATCCTAGTTAGGGAAGTGTACTTTTAACTGTAATATTTCATTCCAGTGTAAAGTTTATAACATAATTAGAATACTTGGCAGTACTGGACCCAGTGGAAATTACAGCTCTTCCTTGCAGCTTAGAAACAGAACACACTGTAAGGTTTTCATAGGTGAGCTATGAATTACAGTGTTGTGTTGCTCATAGTGCACCACACCCATGTTCTTCCACATTGCGCCTTCTGTGTACTTCTCATCCACTGCTCCAGTATCAGTGGTCTTAGTTTTCTTGTCAGTGTGCTCAGCAACAACTGTGGCACCACTAGGAAGGGAAGTGTCAGCTACAGCTGGGTTCACAGGGTTGGCTGAGCCTGGCGCCCCTCCTGTGCCATGCTCCTAGTGGATGCCTTGTGTTCCCAGGTCTGCCTGTGCTGTCACTCAGAGGTTCCTTCTTCTGTTCCAAAGTTCTGACTCAAGTACCTCATTTAGAATGACTTTTAAAGGTTATTTAAAAAGTTAAAAATCATTAAAAACTCAGATTTTGAACATATACGATTCTGTAGGTTCTTGTGACTCACCTGCATGTCCCCAGCCTCATTCTGGCACTTACACTGCTATGTTCTGCCTGGCCTGTTCACTCCTGGCACAAAGCCAGCCCTGCACCTCATCCTTGCAGGGGGGCCATTCTCACAACTTCACTCAAGTGCTATGTTATTTTAGCATCTGCGATGGCCTTTGAGTTACTTCCCCCACACTCAGCATAATCAAGGGTGCCACAACCCATGACAACAAAATGAACTTGTAACCTTGGTAGATCATACATGCTACCTGGAGTCCCTCCCAGAGATGAGAATGGAGAAAACAGTGGTCCCAACTTGGCCAGGTGGAGATAATTTGTAGGTTTTGATTACCTGGGCTGAAGTCTCCCTCCTTGTTGCAGTCTATGTAGAGGTGGCTGCTTTGCTTAGCAGTGGATGGAGAAGTACCCACATTACTTATAATATGGCAAAAGGATGGTTTTCTTCTACTCAACAGATTGTCTTCTGTGACTTGCATTACAGACTCAGCTTGATCAGCTGCACATGGGCATCTGTGTGGCCCTTGACACTGTGAGGCTTTCTGTGCAAAGAAGAAAATCCATAAAGGAAAAAAAAAAAATCTCAGTTCAAATCCCTGTCACTGCTCATTTGTTTAAAGCCTGCCATCATTTCTACACTGTGTTGATGGTTTTTGTCTTTTGAGTTGTTTTTTTTTTTCCTGTGAGGAAGCAAGGTATTTACTATATGATTATGAACCTTTTTTCTTCTTTGTAGGCTGATATTCCAAACAGATTTGAAATGAAACTACACAGAAATAACATATTTGAGGAGTCCTATCGGAGAATCATGTCTGTAAAAAGACCAGATGTCCTAAAAGCTAGGTTATGGATTGAATTTGAATCAGAGAAAGGTCTGGATTATGGGGGCGTAGCCAGAGAATGGTTCTTCTTACTGTCCAAAGAGATGTTCAACCCATACTATGGTCTCTTTGAGTACTCTGCAACGTAAGTATATGGGCTACGTTGGAATGTGTTTTCCATGGAAATGTTTTCATTTTTAATGAATTTAAACTTAATGAGAAAATAAGTAATTCATTTATGATACAAATCAGTACTGCTGATTTTAGTTCCCTTCCACTGCCACCCCTTTTAGATCTAGAACAGGTTCTGAGTCTACATGGTGAAATAATGTACTCTGTGAAAACCTAAAATTGATTCTTCTCTTGTCTTGTCTGTTGGGTTCATGGAATTGAAATTGAAATGTGTTTGGATAATTATGGTAAGGAACAAGAGGCAGTTTTCGTTTGTGATATTATATTAATTCAAGAAGAGAATTTGTCAGTGTCAGAATTCAGAAAAAGTCATTATATGAACAAGTTTAGTCTGAAGTCACACTCTATAAAGGCAAAGTATGTTTTGAGGACTCACTCTTGGGGCACAAGGGACCATGCCTGGTTTCTGTAAGGGGAAGATCAGGCAGTCCCTTATGTTAGGATCTCCTTAGAGGCTTGGAAACTAAGGCACACAGCAATACTTTCTTAGCAGCCAGACATTGGCTGCTTACAATACCGACCGTTTTCCTTCAGGTGGAGGATCCTCAAAGGCTCAAGGCTATCCCTGAATTCCCAGTAGTTATTGACCTTGCCAAGAGACATTTGGCACCAGACCAGCCCCAGGCTCTAAGAAGAGATACAAGTTCTTCTGTGTCTTCCCCCTGGTGCCAGCCTCAGGAGTGCTCATTTACAGGGCAGCTTCAGTACATCCTTCTCAGTTGATTTAGCCAAGAAATGCCCATTTTGGTGATTGGTGGTTGTTACTGAGTAGCATGAGAAAGCTTGCTATGTAAAATTGATAAACCTATTGAAGTGTGGGGCTGGGTAGCATACAAAATTCTAACCTATGTTCCCAAAGAAACCCCCTAGAGGAGTTTGTGAAGCCCAGTTTTAAAACTACTGATTATAATGATTGTGAGAACAGAGAACCATTGGGTACATTCAGACAGTTTGAAGTTTGCATTGCTGAAACAGCAATTGTGCTTCCTGGGCTCTTCAGGCCTTTTTCGGGAGAGTGATGGTCACATGTCCTAGGAGTTGAGCCCTTAGGTAAAAATCTTATCCCAAACCAAAAGCTTTTGAAGGAGTTAACCTTCCATCACCACAGAGACAATCTGAAGTGCTCGTGTCATTGAGAGTCTCTGCATGGGCCCCTTTATTATGTGAGCTTTCTTTTATATTCTCCAGATAGTTGGCTGAACTACTTGAAATTGACATTTTAACAGATCAAAAATAGGCACTCATCAGCAGTTATTGAAAGTTTTACTTACTCTGTAAGGTATATGTGTCAGTATTAGTAGACCTCAGTGGTTGGTCGCAGAAAGAGCTGACCAAGTGGTGAGTCACATTCTCTGGCTTCTCCCTGTTCCCACTAAATATAGAATTTTTGTGATTCCACTGTGTAAGTCAAGTGACAAGTGGCAAAGTAAAATTCAGATTCTTGAGTTTCTTTTTTAAAAGTGTGGTTAAGCTTTTCTTCTCTCTTTTCTCCCTAAAAGGGACAACTACACACTTCAGATCAATCCCAATTCAGGCCTCTGTAATGAAGATCATTTGTCTTATTTCACTTTTATTGGAAGAGTTGCTGGTCTGGCAGTATTTCATGGGAAACTCTTAGATGGTAAGTTACGAAAAAGTTTTGAAATAACAAAAAAATAGGACAATGTTGTTTGTAGTTCTGTTAGGTGTTTTATCTTTCACATTGTAGATTATAAATACAAGCTTCACTAGTTCTTTTTAATGAAGTAAATTATATTTATGTTTTACCCATAGTAATGGTCTTTCCCCAGTATCATATTGGGCACTGGAGACAAAGTATCTACCTACAGTTTAAAAAATTTTTGTCTCTGAAACACAGAACATTCTGTACTTATGTATTTTGTATATTTTCCAGAATAACTTTTCTTTAGTGAGAGCTAGATTTGGTGACAGATGGAACAGTTAATTGAAAAGTTATTTACAGTTATCTAACCCATCAATATCCTGCCATTGTTCCATTTTTTTCCCCAAATTATTTTTTAATGTAATGAGACTAGATAATTTCCAGGTAATGTTATAACTCAGCTAAGACCTTAATACTAGAGTCCCTACTGAAACATGACACAGAGTAACCTCCTTTTATTTAAAGCATATAAATCACAGAAGAATTTCAAGTTACATTAAGAATTAGAAATCAACCCTCTATCTGGCTGTATCATTGATATCATAGGCTTAGCATACACATGTTTATGGGCTTATTTTTTTAAAATAATACTTATAAGACAGCACTGCAGAAATTATCCGTGTGGAAAAATCATCAGAATTTTTTTTAAACTTGTGTGTGAAATGATTGAAAATGAAAGGCATTGAGTTTTAAGATTGACATGTCAGTGACCGTAGAGCGAGCTATTTGCCAGGAATTATATTAATTGGCTTTATGGAGCCTGAGCTATCTCAACAAATAATTTATATACCCTCTGTACGTTCCCTTTAGTATATTTTTACTGTTAACTGCTCATTGATTGTGATGTTCTGATTTCAGTGTTATATTTTGGAGCAGGGGAGGTAAACACTTTTTTCTGTTTCATTCTCCCCGTGTATGTTTGTGGCAGTAGCACTGAGCCATAGATTGTATCACCCTCTTCAGACTCCTACCTTCTTAGGGCAGTTTATTCACCTTCTACCAAGTGAAAAGGCACTGCTATTCCCGTGGAGCATGTAGAGTATAGGAGGTGGTCCTGACCTCAGTGAACTCATATTTTAGGAAAAGAGAAACAAAAGCAGAAGAATCACAGTGAGAGGTTCATGAAGAAGGAACACATTGAGTACTCAGGAAGGAAACTGACTTGACTGGAGGTGCAGGGATGGCGCCACCTCGGGGGCCAGTAGTGTGTGAGCATCAGAGGCCAGGGTATTTAGAAGAGCTGGGGCTGAGCAAGAATCAAGGCTCTCTGGTGGGAGAGATGGAGCAAAGCGAGTGCAGACAGAGAACTAAGAGATTGCCGTGGGGGTGCTCACAAAGGAGGGTTGCAGTGTGTGCCAGGAATAGCAGGACTGAGAGTCCCAGAGCCTATAGATGTGTGCAATGTGCAGGTCTTCAGCTTCCTAAAAATGAGAATGATCCTGTAGGCAGGGCACACTTTGCATGTCTGCCACCACCCCCTCCCCTCACCAGATGCTCAGTGTAACTCCAGTTAAGCAAGGGAGTTGGCCTGTGCTGTGGCCTCAGGGTGTAGGGGTGACAGTGGGGGAGGAGAGGCACAGTGCCCCATGAGTGGAGGTGTGTGATGTCCCTGCAGCAAGGCATCGTCGTGGGGAGAGTCATCCCTCTGCTCTGGCCTCCCCAAGGCCTCTGCTCTCCCTCAGTGAAGATTGTGTAGCCTTCTCAGGGGTCTCCTTCATTTCTCTTCCTGTGTTTTGTCCCCATCACTACCAGGGCAGTGATGCTGGACTGCAGATGGGATTTTCCTGGCTTCTCAGCGACTCCCTGCTGCCCTCAGGAGCAGCCCTTCCCTTTGTTCCTCACATCGTGCCAGCCCCTTCTCTGGCAGTACCTCCCTGGAACACACTGCCTCTGCCCTGTCTGACCGCTGACATCCCAGTCTGTCCCTCTGTCATGTGCCTCATTGGCAGATGCCTGCCTCATCAGAGACTCATTTACCTTCCCCCCGAAGCCATCTCCAATACTCTGTGCTGTACCGTGTCTGTCCGTATGCCGCTCTCCTTCCTCCCCTCTCCCCAGGTGCTTACTGATGTTCATGGACTTCCTTTAATTTTTCTGCCCTGGTCTCTCATTCAGACTGAAAGCAAATTAGTCTTTATTTCATGCTCTGCTGCACAGTTGTGTCAAAGACTTGAAACTACACAGTTTTTGCTATGTTTTAGGTTTCTTCATCCGACCATTCTACAAGATGATGTTGGGAAAGCAGATCACTCTGAATGACATGGAATCTGTGGTGAGTAACTATAGACCATTCTGCACCTTATGGGCAGGGGTGGGGACCGCCTTCACAGTCACAGTGATTGCTGCAGAGAACTCTTGGTTGTGAGAAATTAATTGATCTCCCTAATATTTTAATAAGCAAATTATTCACATTTTCTAAAATCATGGTGCTCAGTATAAGTACACCCAAATGTTAATTATCTCTGCTTATCCAGCACAGAATTTATGTGAACAAATTAAGTCCAAGGGGCATTTGAAGACCTCAGTGTAGCCTGTGTTTTTCATCCGAAGCTGCTAGTACTGAATGCCTAGAGATTCACTGACTGTCCCTCTGTTTTCTGATCTCATAAAAATGGCAGAAGCAAGGCCAAACAATAGGAAGAGTATCACGGTCATCCTGGGTGTGGAGGAGTCAGTAACCACTACAGAATGGGAGAGTCAGAAAACCGACACAGGAGTTCCTCCAGCAACTGTGTGGATTCACCATACTAGACTAGAAAAAGCATTTGCCCATTATCCTTACACTGGTTTCCCTGTTAATTTCCCTGCATCCTACCCTTTCCCTCTGGAGCCTGTGGGTGTGTACCACGTGCCAGTACACCAGCAGGGGCCTTGTGTCATGTGGGGAATTTGCAGCTCTACTTGTGTGAGAAAGCTCATCTCCCTCAACCTGTGTCTTGTCATAGCTGGTCTATGAGCCATGTCCTCCATACTGACCACATGGACCTGATGCTGCTTCTCCTAATCATAGGAAAGGGGAGGAGGAAGCCAGCACTGTCCTTGCTCCCTCCATTGTATATTTGGTCGTGGCTGGGCTGGATTTTCTGCCTGGAAGCCAGAACAGGCTTATTTTTTGTTTAAATTAAGAGTCTGGGAGCACAGAAGAGAACAGATGTGAAAAAAATTAGTGTTTAGTTAGAACATTGTCTCTTCCTTCCCATTTTGCTCCAATATTTTCACTCTTACAAGACAAAAAAAAAAATCTGTTAGTCTGTGCATGTTAAATTTTACAGACCTGGATGGTCAATCTGGCAAATTTGACCACCCTCCAGAAGTGTGGCTTCCACCTACTCCATAGTTGACTACAGACCCCTGTTAATACTGAAAGCTTTTGTTTATGTTTTAAAGGGAAAGAACTGGATTGAGGTGGAACAGGCACTTACATTAGTGAGTGAGTAGTGTAAATCTTGAGCATTCTGCATAGAATTACATTAGAAGGGCTTAAGTATTTAAAGGAGACACATGGGGGTTTTTTTGCAGGGGGGACCTTGCACTTATGAAGCACGCAGCTGAACCACTGAGCTAAATCCCCAGACCGAATTTTTTAATGCTTAATTTTACTTTGTATATCATTTCTGTAGGACAGTGAATACTATAACTCTTTGAAATGGATCTTAGAAAATGATCCTACTGAACTGGACCTCATGTTCTGCATAGATGAAGAAAACTTTGGGCAGGTAGGTGTGACCAACTCCATTAGCTCTATGGCTCTCAAAGAGCATTTTTGTTTTATAGGCTGTGGCACAACTGTGTTAGATGATTTATCACAGCTACCAGGAGGTTTTGGGTGAGCATCATCATCTCATTATAGCAGTACCTCAAAGTCTTACGGGAGCCAAGTCCTGGGTACAACCTTTTCCTCTCCCAGAAGTTATGGAGATTCTCAGAGGCCTCTGGGGTGTGAGCCTGGCACACCTACTTGGGAGCCAATCCAAATATGGTGGTTGGCTTTAGAATCTAGAAATTTGTGTGATTGTTTACTGAGAGATATGAGTCTGAGTCCAAGAGTGGTGATGTTCCGGGGGCATTGGAGCATTTTTTTTCTCTGCGCTATGATTTTGTTGTCATAGTGAAATTTGTGTCATATGACTCAGGTTTTTCTGGTGTTCCTTTTTTCTTTGTCTCCACACTGCCATTCAGGATGATTTATTTTACTGTCCCTTTTAAAGATAAAGTTTCCTGTCTGGAATTTTCATGATCGTACTAAGGGTCATAGAGTTTTGGTCTAAAATCTGAACCCTTGATTCATTGGTTCCCTCAGTAATAATGCTTCTTGGGAGGTATTCTAAAGGTACTATGTGACTTTTGCAAAATCCCAGAGATATTTCCTATCTCTCAGACCAAATCTACATGGTATTGAAATTAATTAGATCATAGAGCCCATTTTAAGGGTTGCTATATGAAAAATGAAATATAATTTTTATTGCTTCAGAGATTATCAAAAGTATATTCCACAGTTGACAAATGCATTTATGGCTCAGTGTCTTACTTGGAAGTCACGAAATAAGGTCCCTGCCCTCTTGGGGAAATTTTAAGAGATTTCTCAGAGAAAAGACTTGTATACTGCTAAATGTAAAGAATTAATGACATCTTGGAGCAAAAATTGTGGATCAAGAAAATGACCACATAAATATCAATATTACTTCTTGCATCCAAATCATATTTTAGAACCAGGAAACCAGCTACTAAGTGCATCTTGGGAGGGGTGGATCTCATGAAATCTGTGTTGTCCTTCACAGCTGGTTGGCAACATTTATAGAAAAACCTCAGGGACCAAGGAGAAAGCCCTTGTGGCTTTATGTAAATGACCAGTGAGTCCGTTAAAAATCCCTCCCCAGAGGTGAAGAAGCCTCACAGACAATGCACATTATTTTCCTGCCTGGGACCATGTAATGAGTGGGAAGAGGGCTTTCATTCAGCTGCCACACCCAGCCATGTGGGTCACAAGTGGCCTTCCAGTGCCTCCCTGCTCTCTTCCCCAGAAGTGGGGGAAGCCGCTGTGCTTTGGCTCTGTTCCCTTCCTTCCTACTTGATTTTCAGATTCCTCAAAAGGCTAAGCCGTGCTTTCTCTGCTGACCTGGCAAACACTGGGGTCCTTCTGCCATCAGTCTTCTGCCTGGGGCTTTCTTGTCCCACCCACACTAGTCGGATGGCCTCCTCACCACAGGAGGCACCAGTGGCATCTGTCTGTGCCTCTTACTACCAGCTCCTCCTCTGTAGCTCCCATCTTGACCTAGTCTCCAACTGCCCTGGCCTCAACAGCCTTCTCAACCACTCGTCAGCAAGGCCCAGGCTCCCAGCACTCCAGCCTTTTTCTCCTCTGCAACCCCACTTCTGCTCGCCTCATCCATGAAACGTGGGAATCTCATGCTCCATCATATGGAAATCTCAGCCTCCTGTGTCCTTGTTATTTCTCTTATCTGTACCTTTCCTTAGTCGTGCCCTGCTTGTTTCCAGTCTGAGTTGCTCTAACATCCTCCTGTCTCCATCTTGCATATTCTGGTCCTCTTCCCAACCCATTTTCTGATGTCCCCCTACTGTGTACCCCATGTGTAATGTTTCTGAAAGACAAACGCAAGCTTCCTCTCACCGTCTGTATAAATTTAAAACTTACTGGCATGGCTTATGCCCCATCATGACCCAACACTGCCCTCCCCTCTCATCACCTGACATCTCCTTCCTCTCACCTTCACTATCCTAGTGAGCCATGAACAGTGGCCGCCAGAGGCAGCTTGATGCTCTGTTGCTGACTCTCCAGATCTCATTTGCCCTCTCTCATTACCTCTGTCATACTGTCCTCTGGTCTTTACCTGACTTACTGTGCACCATAAGCCCCTTGAGATCTTCATGTCTCAGTGTTAGCAGGCAGTTGCCTACTAAGCAAATGGATGAGAGTGCTAAACTAGCTTTAAAAAAAAGTGTGAATAATGTAAGTAATAGATATCATGTGGAAAAACAGAACTGAATTTCAGTGGCTTTCTTTTTTTAAAGCTAGATCTGTGGACATCCTAATTGCCAATTTTCGAAGGACAGCACATAGATAGTCCCCTAGAACTATACATCCTTTCATTTTCAACTCATGTAGGAAGGGATAGAAATAAAGAACCAAAAAAGAAGTAACAAACAAGCCTCTTTGTGTATCCACCAACAGAAAACCATATGACCAACTCAGATAACACAATTCAGAATCAGTTAGTGGAGCCAGGGATTTAGCTCAGTGGTTCTGCTGCCTGCCTCACAAGCGCAAGGTCCCAATTTCGATCCCCAGTACACATACACACACACACACACACACACACTCACACACACACACACACACACACACACACACAATCTGTTAATAATACCAACAGTGGAAACAAATGAACTTTGGGAAATCTTCTGTAGGTACTATTTCCAACTAATAAGGGAAAACAAATGCAGGATGTTGGGTTTTAAGTAGATGCCTAATAAAGTTTCTGTTTATCATTATAGTTGGTGCTAATCATTCATTAAAAACAGTTCCCAGATCTCCCTAGTTAATGCCATGGACTCTTCTGACTTTTGAGTAGAATCAGAATGATGTAATCAGTGCAGACCCAGGAAATGAGAGAGATGATTAGGTGCTTGATTTGTTAAATTGCTCTCTCCCCACTTTTAGAGCACTAATCTGATGAACAAGGTACTAATGTGTCTGCTCCGCATACTTGTCAGGAATTTAGAGCAAATTAACAACCAGGTACAGTAATACCTTGGCTTACAAACTTAGTCCTCTCCATGATTCCAGTTTTAAACTGAATTGGATGAGAACTAAATCAAATTCAATGGTTGGTTTCAATGTTGACCTTATGGGAAAATTTGATTCAGTTCTTTTCCGATTTGGTTTGTGACCAGAATCAGGGAAAAAATTAAGTTCATGAACCAAGGTACCTCTTTGATCTCTTCTTTCCTGTTCACAGTCCACCACTGAGCCCTGTTTACAGTTCCTCCCAGATAGTCCTCAAATACATGTGCTCCTCTCTCTGTTCTACCAACAACTCCCAAGTCTAAGCTACCACTTTCTCTCATAGCTCCTTGTAAATCTCTTTGTATCTTCTTTGGTTCTTTTTATGACGCAAAGATCATTTCAGCTTATTAGAATGATCATGTCATTTTTTTTCTGCCAGAAACTTTCAGGGGTTTCCCAAGGCCCATGTGGTAAATGTCTGGGTCCTTAATCTGACCTGTGAGGTGCTATGTGGCTTCCCCCACTACTTGTCCTCTGGATTTGTTTTATATCACAGATTTGCTCATCGAGCTTTCTGTGTCAGCTCTTCTGGCCTTCTGGAACTTATCAGAAGGCCTCCTTCTTGCCTCAGGACCTTTTTCATGCTGTCTCTTCTGTTGGGAATAGGCTTCTTCCGTCTGAGTTCAGACATCCCTTCCTCTAGGAAGTCAGCATTTGGCTGATTACACCTTGGTACTTGACTGCTTTGAAACGCATTGAATTTGATACTCTATGCATTTTGATGTGAAAATTTTGTCCCATTACTCATAACTTGTTTGGTCTCAACACTGGTTTTGTATTCATTTTGCCAGCTAGAACTTACCAGTGCCAGTTGCCTCCTAAATCTACTACCCTTTCCAGCCAATACAGTTGGTTTGGTACTTGTTGTTTGTGGGATGCGTCCCACCTCCCAGAACCAGTTAACAAGCGCCAAAGTACCACTGTATTTCAGTGTTCTTTTCCATGTCTTCCTGATGGAATTACTGTGGGGGACTTTGCATTTATTTGTCCAAGTGTGTATTTAGCATCTTTGTTCCACCAGGCTGTCTCCATGACAGCAGCAGTATGCCTGCTGTTGGCTCATTGTCACACACTTGCCATTAGCATGGTTCTTGGCACATGTAGGCCCTCAAATGTGGTTGTTGAATCAAAAATAGGAGCACTGGCAGGGTATCCTTGCAAGCCTCTCAGCCCTCTGCAGAATGCTGGCCATGCTATGCAGTTGGTTCTAACCCAAGGTGGGCCTGTGCCCCCAGCTGCTAACTAAAAGTCATCTCCTCAGCGGGGCAGAGGCAGCACTGTGGGCACAGTGAGACAGGAGACAGACACGCACTCAGCCTTCCAAAGCGTTTTGTGCCGGAGCTCCTCTCATTTCAGTTACAAGCAATAGACCATGAAGCATGGTGGCTGTTGCTTCTTGTTATGGAGTTGCAGCTGTTGCCATTGTGTGAGTTGTTTTCTTCCTGCTCAGTGAGAATCTGGAGCTTCTCCTTTCTGGGATCTGCTGTGAACCTGTCCACTGAAGGAAGTTCAGATGCCGAGCAGGATGAATGGCTCTATACCTATGCACACACATGCACACACACACAGGAGAAGAACCTGTTAGAGTAGAACAAAACATTCCTTCTTTCACATCTGATGCAGGTCTGATGAGGTTATTTGGAGAGGCCGTGGGATGTGACCTTCAAGAAGCTGTGCTGGAGAAGAAGTACAGCAGCCCAGTAGGGAAATTCTTCAGGACAAGGCATGCCAGGTTAAGCACACTTCTTAACGGGGCACAGGCCCCAGGAGGCCATTGGAGGAGAATTATCTCAGGAGTTGCCAGGGCATGTGGCCCTTCCAGGGGCTGCAGTAGGGAATAGAATGTGCTGTGCATCCAACTGTTAGGATTTTGTGGTAGTAGGCGGCAGCGGGGAGAGGGCTGTTGGACAAAGGCTCCTTATGGGACTATAATGACAAAAAAAAGGTTGTGAGAAGGGAGTTGGTCAAAAGGCAGAAACTAGTTGTGCACTCGGAGGAGAGGGCCAGAAAGAGCCAGAAAAAGCCAGACTAAGAGCCTGGAGGTGGTGGTGGTGGTAGTGCCCAAGGCCACTCCAGGAACAGCCAGATGGAAGCTAAGGAAAATGGAAGGAAGAAAGCAAGAGGTGACCTGGAGGCCACAGTGCTGTCCTTGCCAAAGCTTTGCTGTCATCCTGGGGAGGCTAATGGAGGGCAAGTCAACCTGGCGAGGGACAGGGCTGGAGAGGGCACTGGCTGCCCCTAAGGCTGCACCCCACAGGGGCCAGTGTTTAGTGCTCATCACCCAGAAACGGGGTCTGCCTAAACCCCATGTGCTCAGTATGACCCACAGTGTTTCTCAGTTAAGCCCACAAACATTCCGTGTAAAGCATCTGTGGGAGGTCAGGGAGCTGTGATGCATACAAAGCTCTTGACCTGCAAGAGGGGGATTCTAGCTCTGTGAGGGTCCTGGTTTCCTTTGATCTTTATCAGAAAGATAGAGACGCTAATGCTCAGGACACCAGGACTGTTTGCTGTCCTAAGGTTTTTTCCATCAGTATTTATTGAACACCTACTTTGTGCCATACATTGTGTTAGTATCATATTGGATTCGTTGGGACCTAAGAAAATGATGATGATGCCTAAAAAGCCAATGCTAGAGGCAGAAGGATGTATTTAGTGTAGTGAGAAACTAGACAAGAGTGGCAGAAATCTACCCAAAGTGGAGGGGTGAAGACTGCTTCCCTGAGGAAAGGACACCTGGGCTCCAGAGCCAGCTCCATCTGGTTTCCTGCATGTCCTTCATCAGAGTGGTTCGCCTTCCTAGTGTCTGCTGCCTCCTCTGTGTGCCATGACACTGCCTGCAGATACTAATGTGATTAAGAGAAGCCCAGTGATTACCCTCCAGATTCTCCCTCCTCAGCACCCGGCTCCTGGCACCTCTTAAGCCTTCCGAGGACTTGCAGCCCTTATGCTGTTTTATCCTTCTATCCTGTGGCAGTGAGATCTGAAATGAAGTATGAGGTGTAAGGGAAATGAAAACACAAAGCTAAAGGCTGTAGCTTGGCAAAAGGCTCCGCAGGAATGGAGGCTGCCAAGAGAAGTGAACATATAGAGTCCAGCTTTGCAGACCCATGAACTAGGCCTGGCATCCAACTCTCTGCTTTTCACCAAACCTCTTGCTTAGCCAGAAATCGCTGCAGCCTAATGAGTTGGTTAACAAATGCCTAGCCCATTAGGCTCCTACCTGATGGGGTAATTCGGCAGTCTGACCTGTGACGGCCATAACATTCCATCTGCAACACAGGATGCAGTCTGAACCTTGGCCCTGGCAGCTAGCTTAAAAAGTAAAATTTGAACACTGGTCCTTGCTCTTAACTAAAATGTTGTCTCTGAACCCAAGAAGGACAGAAAGTCAGCACCACTGACAGTGTGACCGAGAAATCTGCTTTGGGGACCTGGGGGACTCACTCCAACATGATGGCCTAGGGAGAGAAGTAGCCCCTGAGCTGACTTCCCTTGGTAGGCCTTCCCCTGAGCACCCCTAACCCTCTGGGGAAGGAACCTGGTCCAGATCAGCCATGCACCCTCTTCATACCTGGGTCCTCCTTATTTAGCCTGGATGGTCAGGTCCCCCTTTTTTTTTTCCTTTCAAAACATTTTTAGAAGTTTTCTGACTATAAAATATTAACTGTTATAATTGAAATAGAACCAGTACAATAAAAATACTAAAAATCTCTGTATCACCTATTCCTGCTATCTCAAGAAAAATGAAGATTAAATTTTGATTAAGTTAGCGCATCTGTACTCTGGAAGGCTAAGGCAGGAGGCTTGCAATTTTTAGCCAAGCTAGGGCAACTTAGTGACTTATTGAGACCTTGTCTCAAAATAAATAAAAAGGTCTGGGAATGTAGCTCGGTGCAAAAACCCTGGGTTCAAGTCCCAGTACCACACACAAAAATTATTATATGTAATAGAACTATTCTGTGTGTACACAAATGCAGGTTTTATTTTTGTTTGAATGGAAGTGGAATTGTACTGTGCATAGTGTTCATAATATATCACTTATACTTTCCTGTGTCAGATATCAGTCTGTTGATTACCATTGTAATGGTGATTCCATTTTTTAGATGTATACTGTATATTTTTCACTGTACCTTCTTTGTGGGCATGTAGTCTACTTCCATGTTTGCTATATTAACATAATTCTGGAGATGATTCTCATATATATATATATGATATAAACATATATGCTCAGTTAATTTTTCTTCTTTGACAGAAATTATAAAAGAGAAATTATAAGGAATATGTGAAGTATTATAAAAAGTAAAATTGTGATGCCTATTTATTGCCACATTATCTTCCAAATGATAGAACCATTAGACACACCAGCAGTGCAGGCAAGAGCCCTTTGTTTCATACACTGGCAGCACTGGATCTGAGTGCTTTGGTTAGAACCGCCTGGCAGCATCACAGGATTTCCTCCCCTCCTTGTCTGCAGTTCACACTCTCATGCATTAGTTCTGGAAAATGACAACTCCCAGAGGACACTTGGTAAAGGAGGCCCTGTGAACAAAGAGAGGGGAGAGGCATGTCCTGCAGGGTTATGGATACTGTTTACTCCCTCTGCCTGGAATATGAGCTGGGAAGACAGGGATTCTGTCTTAGACTAGCTGAGCTGTGCTAAGGGACTGCTCCATGCCAGGAGGTGATCTGGGATTATTAATTCATCAGTGAATAGAGCAGATAGGAAATCTTCATTAGTGGAAAGAACAGCAATCTTAAGAGGAAGAATGGCGGGGATAGTACAGCTTATTAAAAGCTACTACAGAACCTGTGAATGAGCTGGAACCACAAACCTCAAAACAACTGTCAGTATTCTTGTAGTAAACAAACCCACCCTGCTGCCCAAGCCAAAACTGTTTGCCATCTACCAGTACTGACCTGGCCTGTCCAGGACAGGAGCAGGTACCCGCCAGCAGGAAAGGGAAATGAGGAAGGGGTTGAAAGGAAACTGAAAATGCAGAGACAAGATTAAGAGTCTGTGATAGCGACTGCAAAGAGATGAATTGTGTTGGAAAAACAAGATCCTCTCCCAAATGAAAAGGCAAAAGAGGAACATGCAAAGGGACAAGATGGATGATCAGTGTGATTGAAGAAACTGCCTCATTGTGAACAGGGGTGAGAATCAAGCAGATAGAGCAAACACTGGAAGACAAGACCAAGTCTTCAGGCCAGCAGGCTAGGTACACAGGGTTTGGAGGAAGGAATGACTGGGAGATATTTTGTTGGAGCAAAGATCCCATTACAAATTGCAGTCCCTGTCATCATTATATATAGAACTCCGGCTCTTGGTTTACTGGGTAATATAACCTTTTGGACTCCAAAGAATCCCTCCAAAATATTGACATCACTGTCTTGTAGCATGGAAGTTGGGCTGTAGATTCTTCTTCCACAAAAAAATAGGCCTGTTCCTATACTACTTACCGTATCTTGCCAGATCTGGGGAGGGGGAAAAGGTGATGGTCTGGTTTTAGCAACTTTGCTCCTTTGTGATCAAGGCTTCCTCTAAGGAAAAGTGTTAATAGGGACAGAGAGTGGGAAGAAGTGACCCCCATAAATAAATTTCTTCAGCCTGGCTTCTCGAGTTTCTATTTTTTCTTTCTTTTCTCTCAATTCTAGGGATCAAGCCCAAAGCCTAACAGAAGCTAGTAGGCAAGCACTCTACCACGGAGCTATATTCCCAGCCATTTTTTAAATTTTCTTTTTAATGCAGGGTTACTTAGTTGCCAGGCTGCCCTGGAACTTGTGATGCTCCTTCCTTAGTCTGTTAAACAGCTGGGATTATTATCACCATGCCTGATACTTAAGCTTTTCTTTTCTCTTCTGTTTCTTCTTTCTTTATTTCAAGGCCCTGTGTTTTGCCTATTTGAAAGAAAATTCATGCATCCTTTTTTATGACTATAAATTTTAATTGCCAGAAACAAAATGCATTTGAATTTGTATCTCTGTAGACTTGATTAATTTATTGTTTTTGTCTGTTTAATTAATCAGTATATGAATAGGAGATTAAAAAATAATGTATGAAGTATAATTAAAACTCACAAATAATCACAGAATAATTTGCTTTTAATGATAACATCTTAAAATGTGTGCCATTTTAACAGTTTAAAGCTCCATTAGACATTTTCTTGTACGTGGAGCCCATTTTCTGGGAAGCAGTTTTTTTTATAAATTTTGCTTATCTTTCCTAAGACCTTAATAGTAATATGCAAAATAACTCCATGATGATGATTCTTGTGTTTTTTGTTTGTTTTTTTTGTAATTACAGACGTATCAAGTGGATTTAAAGCCCAATGGTTCAGAAATAATGGTGACAAATGAAAACAAAAGGGAATATATTGAGTACGTATACACATATTTACAACTTTCTCTTTTAATAAATTAAACAGTACATTGGGTTGTGATCCCTTGCCAGAATAGGTTGTGTACACTATGGCCAGGACTGCATGGGCCAGTTTTCAGCAATATAAATTCTTTTTTGGCCTGGGCTAATGGAAAGTTGAATGTGGGCTGGTAGGTTTGCATTATATCATGACTTCTGTGAGCTGCCCTATAAAGGAAGGAAGCAAGGAACAGGTGTGTGTGGTTGAGGAACATGACAGGTACTCTGGGAGTAAGTGGACATCTCTGCTAGAATTTAAATTGTAACGGTGAACAAAGGGTATAACACATTGTCAAAGACCAATGGGATAAAATTAAGAACTACCAAAGGCAAAGTATTTTCCCTCTCTCCTGACTACTTCTTCATAGTGAAAACCTAGGAAAAAAGTTAAAACACATGGAATTATGCATGTGCAAACATAATGAGTTGTTTCTGGTGTTTGCAAGTTTTCATAGTCCAATCTCAACCTCATTTGGTGGAAGAAAATGTTGAGTCCTTTTAGAAGTCTAGCTCTTAAGTAATCCTGGTATTTTTATACCAGACAGAAGATCTTTCTTGCTTGGGTACATTACATTTTTATCTCTGATGTGTCTATCAATTCAGACACACAATTCTGAGTTCTTCCAAGGATGGCCATGTTTGCCTTTGCTAGCCCCACCCCGGTGCAGGCATGAAGAAAGTGCTGCAGGGTTTGGTTGTGGGGTCCAAGTTTCTGCATATCTTGTGGGTTGTAGCAGTGGCTTGAGCTTGTCTGCTTTCAGTACTCCATTTCTGCAAGCAGTGTTTCTGCATTTGAAATTGATCAGAGGGCTTGAATTGAGAATTGGCTGAGAATCACAGCATCTTTTAGTGTGATCTGCAAAGAAGATGCATCCTTCCTAATTAGGAAGAAATGAAGAGTGGCATAGTCTTGGAGACCCTGAGGAAGAGTGGAGCTATCACATAACAACCCCTTTTCACTCTCAAGTCAAAAGTTTGTTCATGCTTAATAAATAATCTGGAAGTAAGCTACTACAGATCTTACCTGTCCACACTAATTGGTGTCCTTGTTCTGACCTTGAATAATTCTAGCAGATAACACCTGAGACACCATTGTCTTTGCTTGGAAAGCAGAATGCTGAATAGTTTCTTTAAAAGGCTGCATCCCAGAGTGACTGAAGTCTGAGAAATCTGACGTGTGCTGCGCATCACTCTGCAGTTAATTACTCTAGGGTTCAAATTTGGTAGAGGCCAGGTCTAGGCAGGGTTTCAGCTAGCTTCACTGAAAAGAGTAGGAGTGAAATCTCCAGCTGCTCCTGGGCCCATTTCCTCCTGTGGTGCTGGAGGAGTGGCAGTGGGCTGATGATTGCACCGCAGACCCACAGAGCTGATGTGGCTGAGCTGGTGTGGTGCAGGCTGTTCATGGGGGCTTTGCTGTGCTGCCGCCTCTCATGAGAGCCCTCTATGAGAACAAAACACCTCAGATGAAACCCTTGTAGATCTGCCTTGCAGTTGGTTCTGCTCTGCACCAAACACTGTCACAGGGAAAATGGTTTCAATGAATTTCAGTTACTTTTAGAGTCTTAACCATTCATCATCCACGTTTTCGTATTAAAACATTAGTGTACATGATACTCAGCGTTCTCTTTACAAATACTTGCACATAGTTATACATACATATGGGTGTAGGCATGTGTCTTCATGCACACACACTCGCATACTCATGACTTTTTCTCTCTTCAAGTAGTTGCATCTATAAAGCATTTTGATCAACTGGAGCTTGATGGGTGTGGGGACTAGTTATGACAGATACTTCACTCATTGTTGCAAGAATTCCTGAATCAACAGTGTGTGCACTGAGGCAGTCCCTACTCTGAAAAAAGCAGTGAGTCCTGATGACATTGGGGGTGGTTAAGCATGTTCCCTTTTCTCCTGCAGCTTAGTCATCCAGTGGAGGTTCGTGAACAGGGTCCAGAAGCAAATGAATGCCTTCTTAGAGGTGAGTGCTGCTGTCAGGGTCTCTGCCATGCATCTCAAGCCCTGGGTTGAGGAGAGCTCGTCAGCTCCTGTGGGTAGTGTGCTGGAGCTGACCATTCTCCGAGCCATGGAAGTGGGACCCCCGGAGGAAGCCAGCGCCACCTAGCTCACACTGGTGACACATCTGCAGGACAAGAGTGTTCAGTGGTGCAGGTGCATCATTGCCATTTGTGTGTGTGTGTGTGTGTGTGTGTGTGTGTGTTCGGTTTCTTTGCTTCTCTCCTATTTTAATTTGTCTTACCTGTGTTTAAGGAGAACTTTTTACTCACTTGATCTAGAGCTGTCATTTTAGACTTCCAGGTGATACCAAGAGAAGGCTGCCTGCTGCTTCAATGCCAGGGTCTGAGGGCTCAGGCTGAACACATAGAGGGTGGCTCCCATTAGGTCATCCCTCTGGGGACTCTGCCTACCTCAGTGGCTGTGCCTTTTCTTCACAGCTGTCTTAACATTCCTCACAGATTTTCTCTTGTAGAACTACATGGAAAGCATATTTTTGTCAGCTGGGCTTTGGTATTACACCTGGCCACCTGTGCCAGCTTCCACCCCGGGAAGAAGGGAGCAGGGACCACCCAGATATAAGGGGCCACTACTGAGCATGCTCCCAGGCCTCTTCCAACCCTGGTGCCTAGCAAAGGGTGAGAAAAGTGTTACATGTTAAACAGAATTGGAATCCTTTTAAGTCTGATAAATTCATAACTTACAAGATAACAGGAAAAGGCCTCAAGTCCATGGAGCTGTTTGGCACCACTCTTGAGCTTGCTCACCTCTAGCTCAGACATGTACACAGGATGACAAAAACATTCCAGGCAGGATGCTGAAAACATTCAGAGTCCTGGGAACATAAAGTGCAAGGCTTGAGCAGACAAGGGCCCATTCATACTTTATTTAGATAAGAAACCCCAGAGAGCAAGTTCCTCGGCCCCACCCTTGGCTTTGAGGAATCTGGCCTCAGCCCAGCAGCCTTGGGAGTCCATCCTGGACCCCTTTACTGACTGGTGACAGCCCAGGAACCAGAGCTGGGTTTGCCATACTTCATCTCTTCTGCACTACATCACACCTCCGTTTGTGCCTCACCCACAGGCCTTCAGTGTGTTACTTTTTAACTACGTCTCTGGCACATCTGTGGTCTGTGCATTTTTAGGACACAGTGACTCACAATAGTGTGTCATAAAAGACTTTCTGAAACCACCTGCCCACAAGATTCATATTGTCATGGTGTTTCAAAAATTATTCAAGTTCCTGAACCTTCTAGATTTTGTAATTTTTCAAAACTTTTGAGTTTTGAGTGCAGTTTTTATTAGGGTATGATTATTTGATACTGTAAGTGATGTATAAATCATCAATAAAGAGTATATTTCATCTGGCAAACCAAAAAAGCTTATTTCTCATGTAAAATTTGTTTTCTCAAGGAAAAATGTTTAAGGTGATTTTTTTTTTTTTTTTTTATTTGTCCTTTCAGGGATTCACGGAACTGCTTCCTATTGATTTGATTAAAATTTTTGATGAAAATGAGCTGGAGGTTTGTATTATAAATTATTTTATGTAAAGTAGATTTTTTTTAAGTATCTCTCTTTACTTTGCAAATGATATTTTAACATTCTCTGATCCATAATGTCCTACTAAGTTTAGATGAATTATGTGTTTTATATGGAGTTGATTTTCTGATTTGGAAGTAAAGAATAGCAGAAGTAGTCATCCCAAGATTCCCTGTCCATTCAAGGCATTCAGTGGGCCTGGCCGCTGAGCCGTGTTGGGTTCATAGCCCTGTGCTCAGGTGAGGAGAGCAGCTACATGTGGTCAAGCTAAGGTAGCTGCACCCTGTTTGCAAGACCAGGCAGCCCAGCATGCTCTGCTCCCACCAGAGCAAGCCAGTGGGAGACTTGGCCACAGGTGATTGTAAACACCTCCTGGCGGCTGTGGAATAAATGTCTCGTTGAACTTGAAGTGGCTTATGTTGACTAAGAAAAAATATCAGAAGGCCACAAGGTAGCAGAAGGTGTGCACCTCAGCTTCTTGGTATTGATGTCATGAATGATTGCAACATGAAAACCAAAGGAACACTCTTTGTTCTTTTAAGAAAAACAGGAAAAGGAAGGAGGCTGTGTCTGTTGACAAGCTGGTGACAGTACCTGGGCATTTGTAAGCCACATGCATTAAACCACTTCTCAAAGAATGGGTTTCTGTACTTTCACCTTGAAGTGGAATCTTGGAGATAGATGATGTTATAGAAATTGTGCACTGTCAAACCTGTGTTGTGCAGGTGGAGTCACTGAAGCAGAAAGAAGGGAGTAACCTCATAGGTTGACCCCAAAAGGTTTTAGCCAGTTAGACCTAGGAACCCTGTTTTCAGGCATCAGGTGTAGTTCTTTTTTAATCTGTTCCCTGGCTGGGAGTGTCATATTCATTTGTCCACTTGAAACCTTCTGTCCTGGAGAGTTACATAAGAAGAAGAGCAAGCCTTAGGCTAAATAATTAAAGGAACCCTTTACTGCATTACTTTATGTCTGCAGTCCACAGGTCTGTGGGAGAATGAGTTGTTATCATCACCTGAGCTGAACTCATCTGGCAGAGATAAGTTCTTGCTATCATAAGTAGTAATTCCCCTGTGGGTAGAGAAAGTCTCTGATACTCAGATAGAAGATCTCTCAGGGGAAACAAGGGTAACAGAGTGTAAGGACATTGTGAATACTGCGCCTAGCTTGGTGGTAAGATGTCTGATCCAGCGTCTATTTCCAGTATAAAACGTCAGTGGCCTTGTCCAGGGGTTAAAATTAAATCACCTTCATTACCTATGGTATTTCTGTGATCATGTCCACAGTCATCAGTTTTCATGAACTGCTAGCTTAACTCCTTTGTAGAATGACAAAATGCTGGCTTTGAGGAAAACTAATTTCTCAGTGTGTGATTGCTCCAGCTTTCACATCCTACCTCGTTTACATGTGATAAATTTCCTTCATAGTTGCTGATGTGTGGCCTTGGTGACGTTGATGTGAACGACTGGAGACAGCATTCTATTTATAAGAATGGCTACTGCCCTAATCACCCCGTCATTCAGTGGTTCTGGAAGGTAACTCCAGCGTTTCCTCTGGCTTCAGACCTTCCCTCTACCCGCTCCCCAAGTCAGGCCCAGGGCTCTGCAGTGCCTTCATCTGCCTTGCTGTAGGACTGATGCTGGAAATTGGGGTCTTTCCTACTTGGACTGTGGGAGAGGAAAGGAGAAACAGCCTCTGCAGTTTTCTTTAACTATATTGCCTATGAGTTTTGAGTAAGGCTGACCCCAACACAAGTGGTTGGTCCATCCTTGACCGCCTGGTTAGAGTGACTCATTTGTGGAACCTGTTGAGAAAGATGATTCTTGAAAAAGAGTTCATTGGCTCCCAGAGTACTGGATTTCAGCCTCCAAGGTGGAACTTATAGTGGCAGCTTTGTCGGTATATAAGCATTCTCTTGGGGCTGGCTTTCTCAAGATGCCATATTTTGTGGAGAAATAAATTTCTCAGTTATTTTTTTTAATTCCTAAAACCATTCTTATATCTCTTTTCCATGGTGCAAACAAAATATGATTTGTTGTCTTAGAGCCAATGTTTACATTCTGTTCATCTTAAAAGGAAGGGAAAGAAGGAATGAGCTAGTCCAAGGGAGAGATGGTAAATGAATTAAGAAAACAGTTAACTCACCCTACCAAAAAAGAAGTCCTCTAACTTGTGTGAATTTTTAAATGTCTGCTACTAATATTCCAAGTGCCAACAGACATACAGAGGGAGAAGAAAGCAGAATCTTCAAATCCTAGACAGACCAAATCTCACTCAGCTTTCATTTTAGATATTTTTATAGCAGTTCAAATAACATTCCCAGTCCAGCCACTTCAGTTCCTGTAATAACTTAGATATGTTAGGCACGTAGATTGTTTTAGAGAGCAATTTTTGCTACTGTTATCTTTGGGGAATTTGCAGTCTTGAAATCCCATCTCCTCACCCGGCTTCCCCTAGTGTAAATCCTTCTGGATCACTGCGTAGTTACAATTGGTTTGAGGGCAGCTGGCGAGCCTCGACTACAGAGACCTGACCTGAGCTCCAGATCATTTATTTTGGCCTATTCGCAGAAGAATAAAAGATCCGATGATCACTCACTAAGACTAGAGAGGCTAAGATTGAGCTGGCCATAAAAAAAATATAATAAAAGGACTCGGTTTTCTGTCTGGGTCTGCTTACATGCCAATATACACAAGATCAAGTTCACCAGCAACATGTACCCTCTGTCAGCTGAGGATATCACAACTTTCTTCCTCTGTTGCATAGGCTGTGCTGTTGATGGACGCCGAGAAGCGGATCCGGTTACTGCAGTTTGTCACAGGGACATCCCGTGTACCCATGAATGGATTTGCCGAACTTTATGGTGAGTAGCACACATCAGACTCTGCTGTCCTCCAGTGAAGATCTGGCCAGGTCTCACCTGTGGCCTGAGAGTACTGTGCCCCCAGCCTCTGCAGGCCAGTGTGCCTGCATTAGGTTCAAGGGTTCTCACCTAGACACATAAAAGGGGCTTCTGCATGAAGAGATGAGGGGATTTTGTGCAGAGGACCATAAGGTTGGTCTTCTCTTTATTTTCTTTTTCTGTTTTTCTAATTTAGTGTTCTGTTACACCTTTAACATTGGGTCTCCCAGACTCACGTGTGTGGTCCTCTAAAGGACAGCTGATCTCCAGGAGGCACACTTCTTAAGTGCATACTTTAGATTGAAGTAACCGCTGTGTCTGCTCTGCATATTGAAATTCTCATTTTATTCCTTTCCCCAAAAGTAACTGTGAGTGTAAGTGTGCAGGGCCCAGTGGAAGGGCTGCAGCCACCCACATGTGGGATTGTGTCTGTTAACACTGGGGCAGCTCGTCCCGAGGTCAGGCAGACCCTGCATGTGAACTTGTGCAGTCAGTCGTGTGCCTCCCAACATAAAATACTGTGTCACAGCAAAAGATACTGAGTCAGGACTCACTCGGCAAACCCTGCCCTGGCAGTGGGAGCTGTGCTACTCTCATCTCACTGCAGCTTTATCCTACCACCTCAAGCCCTGCTGACATTATCTTTTTCTTTTCTGTCTAGGTTCCAATGGTCCTCAGCTGTTTACAATAGAGCAATGGGGCAGCCCTGAGAAACTGCCCAGAGCTCACACATGGTGAGTGACAAAACACTTCAGTGTCAGCCACTAGTATCTTAAATACCCATCCTTGTGTGGTACTGGCCTCTAGGTATAGAGTGCTATACTTCCTGTCTGTAATAGCTCAGAGTGTAAAACACTGATGCAGATGAGGACATGAGTTGTACAGTGAATGCTAATAAAATTTTAACCATGATCTGAATGGAGCCAGTGTGTTTGCACAAAAGGGCTAAAGCCTCCACACTGTGGGGGTCTCCTCCAAGCCCTGCTTTCCTTGATTGCTCTAGGAGCAGAGACTTCACCACCTGGGGATATGGCAGCTCCCAGCCTCTCAAAAGAGCTGGATTTTTATTCCCACCTTAAATTTGTTTAGAACTTAAAATAAAATTCTCTAGTGAAGCATCAATTTTTTGTTTGTTTGTTTGTTTGTTCCTGGGGATCAAACTCAGGACCTTGTGCTTGCGAGACAGGCAGCAGAACCACTGAGCTAAATCCCCCGCCCTTTTTTTGTTTTGTTTTGTTGTTGGTACCAGAGACCGAACTCGGGTCCTTGTACTTGCAAGGTAGGCGGTGAAGCATCAATTTTAAAACACCTTCCATGCCTGTGAATAACCCATAGCTCCCTGGAATTTAGTATTAATATGATTGTAGCCAGGGGAATATAGTGCTCTGTAAGTGACACATGGCCTGAGACAGCAAAGTATAGGGTTCGACATAATCAAAAGGCCCCTTTTTGGCTGCCAGTAGAGAAAAGAGGCCTCAGATACTTTCTTAGACGATATAGGTCACCAAGCACGGAGCAGTCCTTCCTCGATGAGTTTTTTAAGAGTAACACTTCGCTATTCCAAACTCAGTGACCCTCAGTTGGTTTGTTCTTGGTGTGTGAGGGTAGGGGGCACTTTTCTGTCTTACTCCTTCAAAAGCACTGGAGTCGGTGTTCTAGACAGTGTGAGCACCACAATCCCAGCTTTCCCACAGTCAGTGAGGGCTCAGGAATCCCGCACTGACCATACTGAGCTGACACAGGCAACCCATGGCCGCTTGGAGGAGACACCCTTGCTAAAGAAGGGGCAGAGGGGAGGAATTCTCATGAAAATGCCTTTGTGAGTAGTTGGCTCTGAAAAGCTCTTTGCTTCTGTGTGATTCCTTTGCCTCACCAGAAAGAAAGGGTTTCTCCATTCATGCCATTCACTTGACTGAATGGAATGAATGTGGTCATTGCCTGTTGGGCCCTTAAAAACCTGAAACAAGTGACTATCCAGAACAGTCATCACCCATGTTACCCACTTTATTTTGGAGAAATTTTAGTCATTGCGAGCTTTTATTCCAGCCAGTGTCAGAGTCTAGTGTGGTCTTTTGCTCTGTGACAGCTTCAGTTTGAAAGGCAGTCAGCACAGAGCTGACCCCAGGGTCGTGGGGCTTGGTGCGGAACTCAGACTCAGAGCCACAGAGATGGGGGAAGTTAATGAAGGCTCTTGAGTTACCTGGCACAGCCATCTTCTGTGGGCCAGGCACTATTTCATCTTATGCTACACCGTGATTATGCCCCTGGACTGTGAGAATGCTTACCCAGGAGCCCAGAATTCACAGATTTCCAAATCGGAGAATGTGAACTCTGCCAGGAGAGTCTGATCCCTTCACCACTGCACTAGATAGACTGCCTCTGTCGATGCAGCTTTCTTTTTATACTCTTCAAGGAGATCCTGCTAAGCCAGGTACACGTTCAGCCCATATTCCTCTGTGACCCTGTGGGCAGATTCTTGCTGTTGAACTTTTCTTCAATTTTGGAACCCACCTGCTTCACCATGAGTAAGACATGGTGCTGCACAGGTGAGACCTGAAATCAGTGTTTCTTGACCAAAACTGCATGTAGAGAGCTTCTAAAAACCCTCATGCCAGGGTTCTGTTCCCAGAGATGTGGACTTAGTTCATGTGGCTTAAGCAGTGGAATTTTCAAAGGAAAAAATATTTTCAAAGATTTTCAAAAGAAGACCTAGGAAAGATAAAAGATACCAAACTGGCTCTTCCCAAAGCTTATTTCCTGTTTGTGTGTCACAGAAGTAAAGCACGAAGCCCTCTTCCTAATGGTTGTCCCTCAGATAGCAGTCCTGACCTTGTAGACAAGGCTGTTGTCCTCTTTTGCATGGCTTGCCACCTAGCCAAGCCCAATTGTATTTCACTACAGAAAGGGGAGCTTTGTGGCCACTTCTCTCCAACAGTTCCAAGTGGCCTTCAGCCATGGAGATGGTGCATTTCCTCCATGATCTACAAGAATGTAAAATGCATAATTAAGCTTCAGGCTAAGAATTTGCTTTGATAGAAGAACAAAGGCTGGAAGATCTGACTCTTTCTTTAGTATCTTCAAGTGTCACCATTGCGTGTGTGATTACTTGAAAGCTTCAGTTCACTGTCCTAAGAAAGTCACTACCCGTGTACTCTCACTAGGAATCCCAGACCCACTTGCTGTACCAATAATTTCAGCTCACACACCTTTCACATGAGAGCCATAGCCCGCTGAGGGCAGTGGCCTGCTCACGGTCACCCGGTTTGCCAGCGATGGACCAAATCCAGTTCCCTCAGAAGCAACAGTGACAAGCCTTTACTGAACCCCTGTCCCCTTCCAGACACTGTCCAGGCACTCACATGACTTGACTCATATAATTGTGACAATTCTGAGAGTTAGGTTATCTGATGAACCCTATTCCTATAGATAAGAAAATTGAAGTCCAGACCCTCAGTAACACAGTTATAACCTCAGATCTTAATGTGCTGCATTCACCCTTTTCTCTCCAGTGTACCATTTCCTCTCAAACATGCATCATGTAGAAGCATCTCTTTAAGGAAAAAAAGCTGTCATGGATCTTCAGGAATAGGTCTTTAGACCACGCAGTAATTGCAGCCCTGGACTGAGAGCCTCTGGCTTATAAGGTAGAAGCCACCTTCTGTGAAAGGCTCCTTCTTGTGCTGTTTGAAAAATAGAGTTCTGTCTTTACAATGGGTGCAGTTTTGCTCCTAGATTATTAGCAGTACAAAAAGAAAATATTAGGACTATTTTAGGGTTGCAGTTCTAGGATTCTGAGAACCTCCACCTGAGAAGCACATTCTTTTAATGTTACTAGCTCTTGGGAACTCTGCATGGAGCTCAGTGGGACTTGTTATACAGTTTAGGGGTTGTTACGGCCCCAGCATGGAGGTTTGTTTTATTCTTACTACTGCTGATGATAAATGGTTAGATAAATGAGATGCTGTTCTGCTCATACCTGGAGTCACATGTCAGCCCCTGGAAGGGGGACTGTTTCAATCCCAAATAGTGTGGGAGCTTGTGCTATGGAAACTTGAGTGTGGTCAAGAATTGGATGTTCCTCTTCCACTCACAGTGTGACCAGGAGCTAATTGTCTGACCTCTCAGACAAGCTTGACTCCACTCAGTCATTCTCTTCTAAATGATCATGAGCTGTTGCAGGTGTCTGTGGCCATTTTCAGGACAGCTCCACATCAGCTGTCCCCACACGGACACTGACTCTGTAGACAGTCAGTGAATGTTGAATGAATAACACCACTGATCACCATCCTTTGAGCGCTTGCTGAGTGCCAGGCCCACTTCATATATATTCTGCTTTGACCTTCTTAGCACCCCTGCAAGCAATAACCCCTTTTTCACAGATGAGACAACTGGGTGACTTGCCCAAGGTTACACAGCTGGCGTGAGGCAGAACCAAAACATGAACTTGGGTTGATGGCCTGCTGAGGCTATCCATTTGTATGAAGTCCTCACTCTCACTAGGGAGGCTTCAGCTTCCCTCCCCCAATCTGAAGCCTCCTGAGAGACCAGAGCTTTTCATAAATGTAGCTCCTCACTGCAGGTCGGGCTGCCTTACCACACTTTACTTAGTGGAAGTAGCTTAGCACTGACATTCTGGAACTAAGAGCAGCCTGGGCTCCCCCCTGGAGTCTTCGAGAGGGAGTCCTGGCACCTTGATTTTGCCTCCCTGATTCAGGATCTGAATCTGCAGGTTGGAAGTGACCTTAACTGGCTTCACAGGCTGGTGGTGAAAGTGAAGGAATTCACTCTGAGATGAGTGTGTATGTGGCTCAGGTCTGGTGGAGAATAAGCCACAGCATTGAAAACGAGCACATCTCAACTCTGTAATTCTCAAGCATTGTGGCTGAAGATATAAAATCTCTGTGTGGGCACGTGTCGTTACCATGCCTGTATGTCTCCTTCCCACCAGGCTCCTAGAACCCACATCTGCCCATAGCAGAGGTTTCATGGACTATTCGAAAATTGTTTTTCTCTCCTTTTATCAGGTATATTTCCTATTTAGAGTGGACAGTTTCACAGCTAGAATTTATTTCCTGGTACTCAGAATTGGGACTAAGGCATTTCATTGCTTATTCAAATACCAAATGCCCATTAGCCAAATCTAGAAAGTACTGTGGGGCCGGAGATTTAGCTCAGCGGTTCTGCCGCCTGTCTCGCAAGCGCAAGGACCCGAGTTCGATCCCTGGTACCAAAAAAGAAAAGAAGGTGCTGTGTGACTAAAGGGTAAGAATGGTAACATTTTACCTACACCTTTTTTTCCTTTCACAGCTTTAATCGCCTTGACTTACCTCCATATGAAACTTTTGAAGATTTACGCGAGAAACTTCTCATGGCCGTGGAAAATGCTCAAGGATTTGAAGGGGTGGATTAAGGCCTCTTTCCTCAGGGCCAGTGACCATCCAGCAAGTTCCACATGCTCTGTATGCCTGACAGACTTTGGCAGAGCGGGTGACAGAGCACCGCTGTGCAGCATGGCTCCCAGAGGCCAGCCTCCACCTCTGCCATGCCCACCTTCAGACTCCTCGGGAACCCGGTCCCGGCTGAATTCCCGCGCTTCACCACAAATTCTCAACTGGTTGATGTGTACACTAATTACATTTCAGGAAGACTTGTTCTATTTATGTTGTGCCTCTGCAGGCAAAGCCCTTAATAAATATTTTGCATACTTTCTAATGACAGTGAATGGAATTAATCACTCTACAGGTATAGTATTACAATTCATGTTTACTTTTTAAAATGATTTAGACTGATTTTCAGATTTTATTTCATTACAATTAAAGATGTCTCATGTACTTGGTAAAGTGAGCATATTTTTTTTGTATTTGAAGTTCATACCAGGCTTAATGTCAATGACATTATTATTTTTGAGGTACTTTGACACCCCATCCCTGTACTTTATTAGAATTGGAACTTAAATTTTGTCCAGAAGCCTTCTATAGTCAAGAACTTAGAGAGAATTTCAAACATAGCATTAGGTATAACGATAATTTTTTCCATACTCAGAATGAAAATAAACTGGATATTACTTTTTTGTACAAATTTAGGTAATAGCTATGAGCCAAGAGAATTGTAACATAGCATGACATATTTGTGTTAACTTGAAAGGAATCACACCATTATTCCTTAGAAGTAATTACGTGTGCTATAACACATTTGAGACAGGGTTAGACTGTCATTTCTCATGAGAGAAGTTACTTAACCCTTCCTGTTGCTGTACAGTCACCCTTTTATTATACTTTCCCTTTTACTGTTTGTAGTAGAAACATTTCAAATGGAACTCAGCACTGCTTGATTCAAAACTCTGGAAGCCAGCTCCCTTCTGTCTCCTTTTTGTGTGTTCACTAATCGTAGCTAAGTAACCAGTTCTCGCTCTAATTGTACCAGTTCTGAAGGCACTTTATGTACCACATGGAGGTCATACCTGGTTTTGTGTTTGTTTGGTTTTTATCACAAATATTAAATGTGATGATTATTTCTTTTTTCTACTCACATCTTGCTGGTGCAATATCTATCAGTTGTGAATCTGGCTGCTGGTGTATAAAAACCTGAATGTAAAGCTGAGCCTATAGACCTGTCCTTTCCAATTGTTTTGTGATTTCTACTCAACTACAAAGATTTATTTAATAGACACTTAATCTAATCAACTTTTGTTACCTGTGACCTGTTGCATGCTTCAATACTGTGTACTGCCTGAGTCATGTCTCTTGTGTGCTAGATTAAAAGTGAGAAAGACTTGACTTGATCCACTGAGGTCATGCTGTGGTGGTGGAGGACTGAGGGTCTCTGTGCAGTTTGAGTCTTTCCCACCTGTGAGTGTCTGTTACAGAATTCTGTCATGTTCTGAGAAGATGCCTGAGACAGCGTGGGAGTTCAGCAACCCTGCTGTCCTGTTTAACTTGTGTTGTCCTAGACCCTGTTGTGGCTAAGTTAGAGGACACTGGAGATTGGGTCTCTTGCTGATCACAGATAAGACAAAAATTTGTGGTTTCACAGTCTCTGTTGTGTAAGAAGACCCTTGGTGTAAGAAATTAGTCATATTTGTGTAGTTCTGGCAGTATGTGAGAAACCATGGATACTTATCGTTGTAAACGAGTTGTCTAAGGGAATACAGAACCCTGAAAATCTAAAAGGTGACTTCCTACAGAGCTGAGTATTGGTTCTCTTCATATTGATTTAAAAATGCTTACTAGTGATCAGAAACTTGGGTATTGTTTGTTTTTGTTTTTTGTTTTGTTTTGTTTTGTTTTTGTTTTTTATTTTTTTTGTACCAGGAATTGAACTCAGGACCTTGCACTTGCGAGGCAGGCATAGTGCCACTGAGCCACATCCCCAGCCGTTAAGAAATTATTTTTAAAATGCTCATTATTTGGGGGGTTTTAGGTAGTATTTTTTTTACCCCCTACAGTTAATACAATGAATGTCTCAGTGGCAAAAATCCTTTTTTTTTTTTTTTTTCTTTTTCATAGTCCAAAATCAGTTATCTTTTATTGTTGTTGTTCGTTTGTTTTTGTGGTTTTGGTACCGGAGATTGAACTCCAGTCTTTGTGCTTGTGAAGCAGGAATCAGAACTACTGAGCTAAATCCCTGGCCCAATCATTTCTTTTAAAAACATGTGTGCTGGGGATTTGGCTCAGTGGCTCCGCTGCCTGCCTTGCAAGTGCAAGGTCCTGAGTTTAATCCCCAGTACCAAAAATAATAATAATAATAATAATAAATTAAAATTTAAAATTTAAAAATCATGCCTGAATCAAGAAGTATACTTAGATAGTTTTTAAGAAAGATCATGTAATTATAGGAGAAATCTGATTCTAGTGTAGTAACGGAGATTCTTCTGTCATTTTTGTAAATTGTATGTTTTTAAAAATCAGAATATTCTCAAAATGCAAATTAGACTAAGTATTGAAAATACAAAAAGAAAAACTTGATAATTTTAAAGTCAGGAATATATAAGAATTATCAAAATATACCCTGATGAACACTTGAAATGGAGTAATTGTGAATGACATTTCAGTTCATCTACCCCTTAATCGACCCTCTGATTTTAAAGACAATGAAGTATTGCTATATTGGGGGTTTCATTTTTTGGTTTTTTAAATCAACAGTTCACTAGTCCTCAGCTATTTACAAAGTTTCACTCTCCCTAGAAGGGTTCTATATCTTGTCTGCAAATTCTAATACCACCCTTGGTCACTTGCATGACATAACTTACAGGTGGCAGAAGAGAAAGTGCACTACACTGGGAACAGGTTGTTGAATCATAGCTGAGTCCTCCCACTCTGTCAGGCTGACCTGGGGCTGGAGGGCACTGCTGGGTGTCCTACTTGCCCCAGTAGCTAGGCTGCTCTGCATGCCAAGGTCTCTGATTCCTGTTACCTCCTGAGCCATAGAGTCATTGTAACCCCATTTCTCTGGTTCCCTGCAGAGGCAGTAGTTGTCACAGGCCATTTCCAGAAAGCCTCATGAGAGCCAGTGTACACACTGGATGTGGAAGGGCTTGGAGGATCGTGTGACTGCTGTGTCTTCTGGGGTATTTCTGTTCTTGCCCCAGTTGGTCTGAGGGTAAATTTGGAAAGTCTTCCTGGCAGGATTAGCTTAGACCATGTGCTGTTTTCTGCCTGCAGCCTCTGGAATGGGTGTTTGTTGATTCTGTGATGTGTCCAGCTTCCCTTGTTGTACTTTCCTTGTTCACCTAAAACATTTACTTTTCTATAGTAAGTCCTCTGAAAATTTAATAATGGGAGATACTTTCTTCTAAGGACCATTAGGAGATGACATCAGTATGTCCTGAATTCATATATAAAATGATACAAAGCAAATGATATAAAGCAACTTGACATGGATTATTCTTCCCATGTAGGGACGCAGTGGCAGATTCTGAGAAAAGTTGCAAAAAAATTTTGAACCACTTTCTGTATCTCACCTTGTTGCATACACAGCATGTACCATACCATTGTTCTTTGGTCTTGCCAGATCCCATTTGGCTCTGTCAAAAGTCAAGTTCATATGCGGTAACTTTGTAGTTGTTGTAACAGTTACCACTTGCTTTGCCAGCTGTCTCCTGTATTTTCCTAATAGTCTTGCATCTGAGATTTTAAGGTCTACACAGAGAGCCTTGGCTCCTTAGCTCTCCAGCCCCTGTCCACTGTGCTAGCTCTCCTGTATTTATCCTCTCCCCTCACCCTGTCTCTTCACCTGTCGCCAGGAGAGCAAGGGAGATGCTGTCTGGTGTCATTTTCTGCCTTGCCAGTAGGGGTGCTCCTGACCCCCAGAAGATCATGCACTACCTCTGTCTTGTTCAGGCATCGGGGTACATCCTAAGTCATGTCAAAACTGCCAATTTCAGGACTGAGATGTGTTAAAAGACAGAAACGTATAGACTCCACTTTGTACTTTAGATTTTAAAACTGGGAAGAAAATGTGATATACTTTGGACCACTTTTTTAATTTATATAAGCCTTAATGAACAGTGTATATACACTCACATATGCACACTCCACCCCAGAGTATTTTCAGTATGTCAGAGAAAATGCCATAGCATTAGAACATGAGCCTGTGTTAATGTTTTCTAGGGAAGAGGTGGCTTTCTGTTGATATGAAGTTTTCCAAGGAAACCTCTTGTTTGACATCTATCCTTTGTCAAAGGTGTTACACTCAAAGCAGTGCATGTTTAAAGTGGATGTCTCTCTGTTCTGTTTGTGAAGAGTAACAGTAGGAATCTAAAGACATCACTGTTGGTGCCTGACCTCTAGTGTACTGCATTCTCCGCCATGTTTCAGTACACGGAAAGTGTTTTTCATGACCATGACCTTCATCAACAGGTGTCCGTGTTCCTTTGTAAGCCCATCCCTTGTACTCAGACTAATTTCACCTAGATTGTCACGGTTACCTTCATGTTAACTCTGTGTGACTTTGTTCTTCCTTTACTGCTCTGTATGTTACATAAATACATAAATAATGCTGTCCAAATATATATATATATGTATTTGTATAGCATTTTTACACCTCTGTAAGTCATCTGGTTTCAAAAGGGAGCAAGAGCTTTGTCCCTTCTACAGTTTTCTCCAAGCAGTGTCCTGAGGATTCTCACCCTCAGAGCCTGAGAGAACCCTAGGAAGAAGATGTCCATTTGTTGTCATTTCTTAATTCAGGATCTGTTATCAAATGAAACATGAACAAAGCAGTGACTTTTAAGGTGAAAAGAGTTTCAAGCATTCCAAATGAATTCTCAGTGTTTCGTAACTTTTTATTATAAACCCAACTCCTAATACAAAGCCAAGTACTATTTGATACAATGGTCAAAGCCAAACTACCTTGATGTTTTTTTAAGACAATTTATGGATAATGCTCATTTTCACAATCAGAATAGCTTTAAAATGTGGTTGAATTTGATACACACAGGAAAAGTTTTGTTTAAGAACAAGTCTTTTTTTTGCTTTTCTTTCTTGAGAGATCTAAAGAAAATTTGTAGTTTTTCTGACAGCAAAAGAGTAATGTGACAAAAATGAAGTCATTGTAAAGAAGTGATGCAACTTGTTAAATATTTAATAAAGAAGTATGGAAGCTGGAACATTTTCTATATCAAGTATTATGGGTTGTCTCATTTAAAACTTCTTTCTTGAATTCTTGTGTCAAAGAGACTTAATTGCCTGCAGATTTATGATGCGTTCATTTCCTTAATCTCACCTGAAAGTTCTAGGCCCTTAAAAGTAGCTTGCTTAAGCATAGAAATGGCTGACGCATAAGAGGATGCATGTTTTTCTTATCTATCTGCCGATTTGTCTTTTTATTAAACTTGAGAATTACTGGTTTTACCAGATGATCCATATTGGTCCATTCCTAGAAAAGTAGATTTTCCCTCCAGTCTTTATCCAGCCAGTCCTGAGCTTATGAGAGTTAATGGGACTAAATAATGAAGCCACATTGGTTCTCAAAATGGTGCTCAAAATCTTGATCTTATTATGTCAGTTCCCTATTAAAACTTGGTGGTGGTGTTTTTTGTGGTTTTGGGTTTTTTGTTGGTTTGTTGGGGGGGTTTTTGTTTTGTTTTGTTTTGTTTTTTGTTTTGGTTTTGGTTTTGGTACTGGGGATTGAACTCAGGTCCTTGTGCTTGTGAGGCAGGCAGCAGAACCACTGAGCTAAATCCCCAGCCCTGGTGGTGGTGTTTTTTGTTTGTTTGTTTTGTTTTGTTTTTTCTCTTGCTGTATCATTCCGGTCAGATCAGCTCCTGGCAAATCTTTGCTTTTTCATTAGCACTGAACCTCCTCTCCATATCCTTGGCCCATCCCCTCAAAGACTGCCAGCCAGAGATGTCTCTGCAGGACACAATGTAATCAGTCCTTGCTTCCCTGTGGCCTTTTCCTTGAGCAGTTAATGATCTTGTCAGAAAGCTATCAACAGCATTTAGAGCCCCTGTAATCTTGCCCAGGCTTACAAGGACATAACATGAGAGAGGTCCAGGTGGGTAGAGCTGCTCTTGGAATCCCATGTGTTCATGCTTAGAGACAAATACAGATGGTGAAATGAATAAATAGCATTATTTACACAAATGCTAGGTTGATAAGCTCTTCACTTGCTCTGATGTACAGGAGTAATGTGGCCCTTCCAAAATGAGCCTCTGGTGTCAGCAGTGAACATGGGTGTCCCCAAATTCTAGGACTAACTTCCAAGTTTGGCCCTGAGGAAGTTTTCAAAGAAATCCCAAGGGTGAGAATCCAAAAACCACTTTCTGATCTGGTACTCTCCCCTCTGAGGGATCACTTCCCAAAAAAACGTGTTTCCAGAGCACTGGGGCTGAAGATTCTCTATAGGGTTTGCATTGGGCAGGGGGAAAAAATTGAGCCTGACTTTATTAAAGCCTTAGTACAGTCTCCTTACTAAGTAGGTTGTATAACTCAGCTGCAAACTGCTAAGGATCGAGGAAGGTGACAACAGAAATTCCCTGTTAGGAACTTCGTAATGCTAACCTCAGACAGGATTTGGAAAAAAAGGTGGATTTGCCCCAAGCAGACTGTTGCTTCCTGCGCGGTACCTTTGCAGTGCTGCTGCCACCAAACTGCCACACCTTCCCTCGCCACCACTCCACATTGCTTACACCTCCTTCCCTTTCCCCTACATATCCCGAGCTAGTCCTGGATATGGTCCCAGTGAGCTGTAAGGGCCAGGTGAGAGTAACCAGTGACAAGACAGGTGAAGATACCTCCAGCAAGGCACCACTCTTCACTGAGGCCTGCTGGGCTCAGTCCACCCTCCCCATTCAGGGGTTCCTGGC